CCTGCAAGCAGAAAATCTAGTCAACAGTTGAATAATTTGGCCTAAAACCGGCTTGCATTTCAGATGACATGTTATTTCTATCACACCATAACTCCCGTCTGTTCTTGAATATATTATACAAAATGAGTCAATAATGGATATTCCTCTATAATTATTAGGCTTTTGGATATTTCCTGCCTTGTGCAGCGGACAAATAATACTGTTTCCCCACTAGGGAGGGAATGTACCACAGTCAAAGAGTTTATTAAACAGATTTGTTAGAGTTGGTGTTATATACGGTAGTTCTTGTTGCTTGCAGTGATTCACCTGGAAGACTATCAGGTCCAGGGGTCATTTGATTTCAACACTTTTACACAAGAATATATTTCTTCTTTTATAAATAGACTGTATCGATCATTTACAATATTCTGTCGGATGGAGATTCATTTTATGTCAATCATACTCACAGTTGAATGATCAAATACAGTGTCACTGACATACAGAAGATTGTTACACTGCTTATCAACTGTTATAATTCATGGGGATTGTACGACTGCTTCTCCCTCTTTTAAGTATTTTTCAAAAACACCTGCGATCCTCTCTTGAATTTATTAACACAGTTCTTTGTTGCCCCCCCCCCCCCCCCCCCCCCAAACCTTCTCTTTCCTGAAAAACGGCTTCGTTAAATCATTGTGTAGCCTCCTGTAAGTATCAAAGCTGGTACCGGAGGCTCGATCATCGTGCCACCAGTGACTGTTATGAGTTATGTCCCTTCTATTCCCTCCTATTAACCAAAAAGATTCGAAATCTCATATCACATTGCATTTGCCTTAAATAAAATGGCGGCGCCCAGTCAAGACGATCTGAACGATAATCAAGCACTTTATTGTAATAAAACGGATCTTAACCCGCAAAGTGCATCAAATTACTTGAGCACCTTGATTAAAAACATGAAAAGATTTGCCAAATGTCTGTCAACGCCAAGTTGGCGATACACATGCTTTCCTGCAGTTGACTAAAATCTGCATGTTGAAATCCATATTGTTTACAAACCGAATGTCTAGTTCATTACGAGATTTTGATTGGACTATGCATGGACTCGTTAGAGCAGCCAAAACTCCGGATTTCCAGCCTAATCCGGCGAGGTTGGAAACTGGACATGTCAGTTACCACATGCCTCAGGAGGAGGTCATTACTGACAACATGTCATTTTATATTTCATGCACATGGTGCCACAAGAGAACTTTTCCTGGTGTAGTGTTGGGACACATAAAACTATTAAAGTCTAATCATTTCCAAAGCTACAGCTCTGACATTATAGTTACGGAGAATAAAAGAAAAATTTAGATATTAATGCATTTTTAGGAAGATAATCAGTTTTGAACAAGGCTTATACTTACACAAGACCTTAAAAAGCCACCTTAGGTAGTATGAATGTCTCCGTGTACAAAACAATTGAACTGCTTACTGTACTCTTTTCATGTTTCCGGCGGTCGGGTAGCCTAGTGGTTAAAGCGTTCACTCTTCACGCCGAAGACCCAGGTTCAATTCCTGACATGGGTACAATGTGTGAAGCCCATTTCTGATGTCCCCCGCTGTGATATTGCTGGAATATTGCTAAAAACTGAGTAAAACCCATCTTCCCAAGGCAAGAGAGTTAACTGGCTATAAAAGTCCAGTTTCCACCCTTGCTGAACTAGGCTGGTATTATGGAGTTACATTTCAGCTGGACTAACGAGTCTATGCAGAGTCCAATCAAAATCGTGCACCGAAATCGTGCACCGAAATCGAAATTCGGTTCGTAAAGGGTCGTGCAGATTTTGAATAAGCCCCTTAATGCCAATGGATAATACTTAGTTTTACATTATAGCACCAAATGCAATATAAATAACTCCAAATTTAGGGGGGAAAGAACTATTTATTAAATCCCCTTTTTGAACAAAATAATGATATTTTTTCCAATTTGCCTGCCATGGGCACTGAGTTTAGATAAAACCCTGCGAGGGGCATCCCAAACACACGTTATGTCTGTGCAGGTAGCTGCATTCCTGTGAGCATGTGTTTCCAACCAGTTGAGGGGGCACGGGCGGCCCAGTCATCTAAGGCGCCGCGATTCATTGTGCAGAGTTGCGTCCCTTGGGCACGCCAGAAACCTATGATTGTGTGTTCAAATCCCGGTTCGCCCCGATTATGTTTCTAGGTTTGTCAGCACCATACCCGTGCTCATGGGTTTCACCGAAGTGGTAAACGTCTGAGACCTGCATCACTTCAGGCTTTCCTCCCACATTAAGCTGACACGCTGCAATATAACTGGAATAATGTTAAAAGCGGCGTTAAACCCAACTCACTCACTCACTCCAACCAGTTGACCATGTTAGATGATAGCACCGCGAACCACGTTTGCATCCACCACCATCCCTGAAGGCAAAAGAAATATCTAATGAATGGTAATGTTTTTGCATGCAACTGGTGAAAGACTTAGCTACCGTTCACATACATTCAAGCATTAAACTATAATGATCCAATTTGTTTACCCGTCATCATGGTAATAAATCTGTACTCACAGAACGACATGGAGAAATCAGGAAATGACCACACAACCTCACTGAAAAATGTAAAAAGTTCTGTCAAACACATAGGTTAGGTTTAGAATCAAACAAGGGGTGAAACAAGGGGTGAAACAAGAGGCAGCAGCTATAAGTAGGCGAAGTAACCATGGTAACAGGTCCTAGAATTAATGTAAGTGCACTCGCGAATGTCAAGATGTTTATTACTGTCAAATGTCTTGAAACAAACCTGTCCTTGTTCTTAAATCCTAAATAGTGTTGAAAGCTGGTAGAAAAGTGGTGTTTTCAGATAGGTATTCAATCCACCCTTGAAAAGTAGATAAGACGTAAGTCAGGACATAAAAGCCCTGGAACAGCCAAACTTGTGATAGGCATAACCAAACTTGTATAGGCATAGCCAAACTTGTGATAGGCATAACCAAACTTGTATAGGCATAGCCAAACTTGTGATAGACATAGCCAAACTTGTGATAGACATAGCCAAACTTGTGATAGGCATAGCCAAACTTGTATAGGCATAGCCAAACTTGTATAGGCATAGCCAAACTTGTATAGGCATAGCCAAACTTGTATAGGCATAGCCAAACTTGTGATAGGCATAGCCAAACTTGTATAGGCATAGCCAAACTTGTGATAGACATAGCCAAACTTGTGATAGGCATAGCCAAACTTGTATGGGCATAGCCAAACTTGTATAGGCATAGCCAAACTTGTGATAGGCATAGCCAAACTTGTGATAGGCATAGCCAAACTTGTGATAGACATAGCCAAACTTGTGATAGGCATAGCCAAACTTTTGATAGGCATAGCGAAACTTGTGATAGACATAGCCAAACTTGTGATAGGCATAGCCAAACTTGTATAGGCATAGCCAAACTTGTGATAGGCATAGCCAAACTTGTATAGGCATAGCCAAACTTGTATAGGCATAGCCAAACTTGTATAGGCATAGCCAAACTTGTATAGGCATAGCCAAACTTGTGATAGTCATAGCCAAACTTGTGATAGGCATAGCCAAACTTGTGATAGACATAGCCAAACTTGTGATAGACATAGCCAAACTTGTATAGGCATAGCCAAACTTGTGATAGTCATAGCCAAACTTGTGATAGGCATAGCCAAACTTGTGATAGGCATAGCCAAACTTGTATAGGCATAGCCAAACTTGTATAGGCATAGCCAAACTTGTATAGGCATAGCCAAACTTGTATAGGCATAGCCAAACTTGTGATAGTCATAGCCAAACTTGTGATAGGCATAGCCAAACTTGTGATAGACATAGCCAAACTTGTGATAGACATAGCCAAACTTGTATAGGCATAGCCAAACTTGTGATAGTCATAGCCAAACTTGTGATAGGCATAGCCAAACTTGTGATAGGCATAGCCAAACTTGTATAGGCATAGCCAAACTTGTATAGGCATAGCCAAACTTGTGATAGTCATAGCCAAACTTGTGATAGGCATAGCCAAACTTGTGATAGACATAGCCAAACTTGTGATAGACATAGCCAAACTTGTATAGGCATAGCCAAACTTGTGATAGTCATAGCCAAACTTGTGATAGGCATAGCCAAACTTGTGATAGACATAGCCAAACTTGTGATAGGCATAGCCAAACTTGTATAGGCATAGCCAAACTTGTATAGGCATAGCCAAACTTTTGATAGGCATAGCCAAACTTGTATAGGCATAGCCAAACTTGTGATAGACATAGCCAAACTTGTGATAGGCATAGCCAAACTTGTATAGGCATAGCCAAACTTGTATAGGCATAGCCAAACTTGTGGAAACTGCGCTATCCGGAAACTTCTCAAACAATCAAGCCTGTCTTGTTTGTCCTGTTTGTCAACAACAACTCTCAAGGCCGTAACTCCCTGCTATTGTCTGCTGCTAAATTCTTGCCATGATTGCGTTGACATTTTACCAAAGATATCATCATTTACTGATCTGACAGTCTCTACAAATGAGATGCAACAATCTCTCCATGTCAGAATGATGAGATCTGATTGGTCCATGTGATCTTGATAAAATACTATGTATCCTGCCTAGGAGAGAAATAAATATCTCAGAGGGAGAATAAATCCCATATAACCTGCCACAAACAAGACCGGCTGCACATGGATTTCTGAGAGGGAGAATAAATCCCTTGTACCCCACTCCAAAGCAAATAACTGCATTCTTTTTCCAAATGACATAGCACAACTTAACCACAGCTCTATCGAACAGCTGTTTTCTATCAATGTTGAATTTCTTTTACAATGTCGTTTTAGAATGTCGGTAAGATAAATTCGATGTAGCAGTATCAGTCGGGGTACATGTGGTTTTATGCATCCCTCAGTAGGTTTTATACAACTCATCCCCCCCCCCCCCCCCCTGGCTCGTGGAATAACACCCTCAGGACACATTAAACCATGTGTACCTCTCGTGATACTGCTACAACTTATAGTATTAGTTTGCAGTGACAAGAACACGATGCAGTTGGCAGTCCACAAGAGCTTATCAAAAGACAGGATGCTAGGCCTGAACATGCTGAAGGTAAGGTATGATACCAAGATAGAGTTTGTTATAAAGGTAGCTATAGGCATTATCAGGGAAGTTTGTTTTAAAGGTAGCTGTAGGCATTATCAGGGAAGTTTGTTATAAAGGTAGCTGTAGGCATTATCAGGGAAGTTTGTTATAAAGGTAGCTGTAGGCATTATCAGGGAAGTTTGTTATAAAGGTAGCTGTAGGCATTATCAGGGAAGTTTGCTATGCCACATGTGACACACAAACTCAAGGTTAATGTCAAATTTTGTCTTGTCATGATATGGCTGAAATATTGCCGATGTGACGTTAAACTTTAACTCACTCACAAACTTATGCTAATTTGAGGCTACCTGAAATAGCATAGAATAGGTATTCTAAAGGTTGAGGTTGACTGGCCCTGACTATCACCTAATGTGTCATGATACATGTTTCTCATGGGAAGGATTGGTCCATTCTAGAATTGGTGGGGAGGGGCTGCCTCGGTTGTATCTAGACACCTTTCTAATTTCTATTTGCTCTTACTTCTGTTATTGTATAATGTTTTTTGTCATATTTTCTTTCAGATATTATCATTAGTTCTGTCCATCAACATGGTAAGTAATTAAGATGCTAAGGATGTTTTAGAAATATATTCAGTATGTATTTATGTCTCAGGGATATCATCTCATGTACCGGTAAATCTCTTTTACAGCCTTTACAAATTGACTATTCACATTAAGAGCTAAGGTCATCCTCAAGGTCATAGCCTGTGTAAACAATGACTTAAACTGCTGAAGAAGCATTTACTGTATGTTAATGAAACGTGGTACATGTCACCATTAGGGTGGAGCTACAATCTGAAAAGGTTGTGAGTGATGTACATTTGCCATGAAATGCCTTTTTCTGCAGACTTGTTAGCTCATCTGGTTGTGTGAGCTGTTAGCTCACCTGGTCAGGTGAGCTTATGTTGTCAAAAGTCATCCATCATCGCCCTTAAACATGTTACATTTTCAACTTCCTTTGCCGAAATGGCTTGATTTATTCAGCTGAAGTTTGTTTAAAGCATCAAAACTGAAATTTCATTTTTGAGTTGAAACAAATTATTCTCCAAAACAAGGCAGGGAACTTGTTTGGTGAGATGGTCACCAGATATTAGGGGTGTTCACGATACAGGTACCTCACGCTACAATATGTATCTCGATTTTGAGGTCAAGATACGATACGTATCTCGAAATCGATACAGCTATACCGACCCTTTTATGCGTAAATTTAGAAGCAAACCTTTCAATTGCATATCACATTCACAATTATGTGTTCAGATCACTATCAGTAGATTATTTTGAACAATGATAATGCTTAGAAAAGGTTGATTCTGTTTATTCAAACAAGTGTCGGGAAACTAACAAGTTTTCGTATGTATCAAGGGCGGTTGGGTAGCCTAGTGGTTAAAGCGTTGGCTTGTCACGCTGAAGGCCTGGGTTCGATTCCTGACATGGGTACAATGTGTGAAGCCCATTTCTGGTGTTCCCTGCCGTGATATTGCTGGAATATTGCTAAAAGCGGCGTAAAACCATACTCACTCACTCGTATGTATCAAATTCAGAAAATATGATGACATTTTGATTTGAATAAAAAAATAAATCGATACGCGAACAAATGGATACCGATTTCAACAAAATTTTGTATCGATATAAATTTACATGTATCTCATATCGTATTGTGAGAATTAACTACTAATGCATCAGTACAGTCGGTGAATCGTGACATCCCTACCAGATATAGTTCCAAATTTGTTCGAGGCATTTTGATCAGAAATCAAATATGGCTGCCAGCAGATACTAAAAGTCATGCATCATTCATTTTAAACATCTCCTCAGAAATCATTGCACCGATGGAGCAGATTGTTGTGCTCCAGTGACCACACCGCGGGCATTGTCTCATCATGTGACTGGACCTTTCTCTTCTTTGTAAACTAATTCTGAAATAAGAACAGAAGGGCCAAATGCAAGCCTTTTGATGCTCTTTCCATATTGTTTTTCTTACAATTATATAGACATACTACTGCAACTGTGACAGTGAGGTGCATAGCACTATTGCTTTACACATGAAGGTGACCGTATTGCTAGCTCTCTGAGGGGCTTCCATGACAGCGCGTGGAGGATAAATATGATAATAGAGTGAGTGAGTGAGTGAGTTGGGTTTAACGCAGCTTTTAACATTATTCCAGTTATATCACGGCGTGTCAGCTTAATGTGGGAGGAAAGCCCGAAGTGATGCAGGTCTCAGACGTTTACCACTTCGGTGAAACCCACGAGCACGGGTATGGTGCTGACAAACCTAGAAACATAATCGGGGCGAACCGGGATTTGAACACACAATCATAGGTTTCTGGCGTGTCCAGGGACGCAACTCTGCACAGCGAATAGCGGCGCCTTAGACGACTTGGCCACCCGTGCCCCCTATGATAATAGAAATAATTTTTCACCATTTAGGATATTGTCTCATGTTTTAATCTAAATGTGCAGACTGCTTCAAAATGAAACAGATGATACACACATGAATTGACTGTGTAAGATGTGACGATGTTACAGAGGTGGGAGAGTGATTGGCTTCATATGACCGAGTCATCTTATCATTATCTAAGAAAGAAGTGTGGTTTTGTCCATCTCGCGCATTTTGTGTGGACGATAGAGTTTTTCTCACAACTATTTGATATGTTGGCATAGAAGAGGATGTCTGTAGAAAATCTAAAGAGTTTTTTAGAGCCAAAACAGGAATTTATGGCTATGATGTAATAGAGGTAGTACTCCTAGAATTATAATCAATAATAACTATTGTTTGATTTCTGATTTTCAATATGGCCACCATGACAGCCATTTGTCTGCAAAATGAAAGTAACTTTGGTATATATTTAGTCAGTTGTGAGATTTAACACATGTTAAGATATTTGAAATTGTCAATACTTTAAACATCCTAATATTTTCTGAAAATGCAAACTTGAAATTTCTTCTGCCCTGAACATGCTGAAATAACCCGACTGAGGGAGGTAAGCTGAGCATGTATGTTTCTCCTTATGCTTGTATTGGAACATTAGATTTTAGTTATAAGTCTTCACTATTTATTCAGAAAATGTTTGACTATCAATGCTGACAATAACTTTTGTTACCAGACCACATATATCTAGGTGAGCTACTATTTGTTTGATGTGTTATACATTCACTTAGGGACATCATTTTCAGTTTATTTGTTGAATAGCCCATGGAATATTCTTAAAATACTTGTCTGTGAAGGCCAAGTCACTCTTAAGGTCAAACACTTGGTTCATGGCAACACTATTTGCTCTTGGTTTGTGCAAAACTACCAGGTACTTATTTTCTATTTCCCCAGAATCCTTTTCACGAACTGTTTACCTAAGCTGATAAGTCAGGTGAGCTACAGCCATGTGGCTCTACTTTTATCATGAGAGACCCCTGGTTCATGCTTAGTTTCAGTGTGTGGGTGTGGGTATGATCAAAATTGCACAAAACATTCTACACCAATATTAGGCATGACTTTCAGTGATGTTGAGACTGTATTAGGTGAGCTACACAACTGCTTATGTATGTGGGTCAAGTTTGCGTGATTATTTGGCCATAATGGTGAAAGTCGATGATCTGTCACATTATTTTTTACTTTTGCTCATCAATGATAGGGAACTTGGAGTAGGTGAGTTGTCATGGTCGAGGCAGGAATGATACACTAAAATCTTGGTATGGCATGATCCATTGCACAATAATAGCATGATACTCTATTTCTTTCCAAATTGTTATTTTTTTATGACAACAGTTAAAAATTGATTTTTAGTTGATTTTTAAAAATGTTATTTGAGACAGCACCAATGCTGACTAATGTGTTGATAAAGCAATTGTTTTGGTCGAGCAGTGAATCATTTAAGCCATAGCTTGCTTGCATGGAGTTCATCTTGTGTTTTGGTAAACATGTTAACTGTTTTTGTGTTTTTAGTAACCATAGTGATACAGTTTTGTGTTTTCCAACAGTTTATGTCCTGAGACTGCTTCATGGACAATGCAATGTTGTGATGTGTTCTAACGTCATGGATGTCATTGTATATCATGATATAGATGTATCCATATTGTTTTTATGCTGATACTATATTGATACACATTTTTAAATACTGAAACTAGATTAATAATTCACTGCCACAGAAAGGTTTATACCTGGTACTTGTTGTGATAACCATGGTTAAAATAAGAAGAAAGGCAGAAAATTCAATTTTAGTCATTTAATGGATCATCTGCCCTCTTATTAGAGACTGAATTTGAACATTGTCCCCCTTATCATTGTCTTCGTTATCAACTGATGTGATGCTGGGAGTTATCGCAAGACCTTGAGAAAACAAAGTCCATATTCCATAGCACATCTCCGGCATGTGAACACTGCAATGTCACACTATGCTCAGTCTTAATTTCTTTTTTCTAATAAGAGCATGTTTTCACCTAAAGTCCAGTTTCATAAGATTTGCATCCATTGAAATACACTTGTGTCGTAAACTCTGTACATACTGCATTGAAAGCTCTATCGTGTTGTTTTCATATACTGGTCGTGTTTCGAGTAGTGACTTTGCTGTTTGACATTGACATGCCGTTTCACAATGTTTTCGGTATTTCCTCAAAAACTGGCCCAAGCAGTGAAAATGATGAGAGCAAGAACATATCAAGTCACCATCTGGGGGTAATGTGAGGCATGATAAGGCCTAACAAAATGAGATCACGGCTGATCATTGCATCGGACCTTGCAACAGGCCTATGTTCCTTCACTGTGGCCCCTATAGTAACCAGACACTAACCTTCAAAGTTAAAATACCTTCGCACTTTCAGCATGCTGTTAAATAACCTCCGACACTGCTTGACTGATGAAGATGAAATTTGACATGCAGGCACATGTTATGAAGACGTCTTATTTTATTCAAATCATTTTTCATCACAACTAGTTTTAGGAACCACACGATGCATAAAGCTGAAACTTTGTTTGAATGATAATGGTTATTAAAGGAATCATGATCAGCACTCAACTTCGGTGCTGCAGACAATATTGCAAAAGTTTTTTTTTCTTTTTCCTTGAATATATTGCACTTATTTTGCTTTAACTTACTTTGATCATTGTGACTATAAGAACGTTGAAGTGTCACATAATTATTTCTTCAAACTTGAGTTGAGTGACAGAACCCTGGTGCTGACTGTGTTGTGTTGCTATTGTGGAGTTATTTTGTTGTATATCACTTGCTAATGTGACGGAATTGTGGCTTCATGTTAATGTTTCCTGTGGTTGTTGTTGCTTATAACAGTGGAACAAAATGTATCTAACCTTACACTAAAAACGTTTTAGTTATGTTTATGTCTGTTTGTCTTTTAACCATGTTAACATAAGGGTGCAGGCAATAATGTGGAATAGCGTTTGGACAGACCGTGAAGATCCGGGGTAGAATAGGTCTTTAGCAACCCATGCTTGTCGTAAGAGGCGACTAACAGGATCCATTGGTCAGACTCACTGACTTAGTTGATGCATGTCGTCGTATCCCAACGATCGATGCTCATGATGTCAATCACTGCACTGGTCCAGACTCGATTATTTACAGACCACCGTTATATAGCTGGAATATTGCTGAGTGAGAGGTTAATCAACAAACAAACAAACAAACAAAGCATTTGGATACTTCCTTCTGCTTTGATTATTCTCCTGAAAAAAAGTAGGGGGTCATGAAATATGAATGTTAGCAGTGCACATTATTAAAGTGTTCATGGCAAAAGTCCTATGCAAGCGAGTTCTTGTCTCCAGAACTTTACACCAAAACACATCCTATAGGTTGCACATGCCGCATGCAGTAGCGCCACACACGTGCGTAGACGTGCAGACGCTCTATGGGCTCTTGGTGTGCTGTAAACTGGCAGAAGTCAGTGTGCAATGGCCACTATGTTCAGTGTTTCACAGTCTGTGATTAGCAGACTATAGAACAGGTACCAACAAAACCAAAATGTTGATGGCTGACCAAGTTCAGGTTGTCCCAGGTCAACGACTAGAGTACAGGATTGATCTTAAACCAGGCTTTACAAGAGAGGCTCAAACAGCGAAGTACGTTGCTGCAAACATTTCATAAGGCTACTGGAGTACGAGTTACGGGTCAGATGACTAGAAGTCATCTACATGCAGTTCATCACTATGGTTGATAGCCACGCGTTGTGTAGACTCTTACAAATCATCGTATTGCCAACAGGCGTCAATGGTACGCACAACGTTGAAACTGGGGTAATCGTGGCTGGACACAGGGCATGTTTACAGATGAGTCCCAATACCCTTCGCACCTTCTCGATAGGTGTGGTCGTGTCTGGCGACATCTAAATGAATGTCAAGCCAATTTCAACCTGAGCCCTTATGACAGATTTGGCAGTGGATCGGTTGTGATTTGGGGTATGACTGAGTGAGCCCCACTCCATATTGTGCAAAGAAGGGTGTCACTGGGCAGTACATACTGACACCCTGTGTTGTCCCTCTTTGCCCCCATAGAACGTCTGAGACATGATAAAGAGGCGTGTGCGTCAATGTCAGGCCGCCGACCACATTAGCTGAACTTGGCCAGGCGCTGCAAGAGGAGTGGGACAGGCTCCCTCAAGTCACCATTGGGAGACTCCTACACAATATGCCTAGTCGAGTTGAGGAACGTTTGGCAAACAGTGGTGTTATGCACTACTGATCCCAAATCATCAGCTTTGAAATTTCCCGTCTTTCCCCTATCGTCCTTCAAGATCATTAGTGGTCATAACATTTACAGTCATACTTCGCTTCGCTACCAGTTATAATGTGTTCCCAATTCGCTCATTATTATCAAACAAGTTTTACTAGAAACTAAAATTTATTCCCAGTATCTCCTACTTTTTACACTTCAGGGGCAAATCATATTTTCTTACTCTGTACATTGGGGTAGAGCAAATGTTATTTTCACAGTAGTTCACAATACTGATTGTCCATAATGTCATATTTGCTATTTCCAATGAATAAAAAAGTCTTCTTTATTTGTTTTGTTACTGTGTACTTCCATGTTCTATCACTTCAGGTTGTAACCGTTACTTTGAATGTAACCGTTACTTTGAATGACTGTGTACACCTGGAGGATGAGGGATGGATAAATACAAGTCATCATCAATACAATCCTATATTCTGCCCTATTCCGGGTAGAAATAAGACACACAGCCTGATATACAACTGCTACAACGACATATTCTTGAATTGTCCGAGCAAGAAGAAGAAAGCAGCTTGCAAGTCAGGTGAAGGTCACCCCGTAGAGATGATATGTGTTAACCTCACTCACAAAGGTAAGTGTCTTGTAACAAGTTACGTCCAATATTTTGTAAATGTTTGCTGATTCTTTCAATATGATTAGGTCTACTGTATGGTGGTTGTTGCTCCTGGGGTCAATGGGGTATTTAGTGCACACTTACACAAGCATAATACATACCTTTTTGTTCCTAATAAATGATTTATATGACATGGAAACACACAAACATAATAATCTCTTTAAAAATATTTCATTCACAGCATTACACTTCAGAAAGAGTTGCTTTTGTAGAAACTTAAGCAAGGACTTTTGTGCACGTTAGCATTGCATCAATGTATTGTGTTTTATTGAAAGTTGTTCCCACTAAACCTCATTTTGCATATTTTGCAGATTGGTTTATCACATAGATAACACTAACCTTTATTTTTTATAAAAAAAATTGTTTCACTGATCTTTCTTCACATCCTGGGACATAGGCATTGTCATCTGCTGTGTGTGTGGCTTCAACTTCACCCACTACCATCTCAATCCCCCACCCCCCCTTGGGGGTACTAGGTCTGTCTGCAGCTTGGCTTTGCTTTTGTGTTTATGAAACATCTATAAACATTTATTTCTTTTGTCTTTCCTACCCCAAGAAGTTGAAATGGACACAGATGAGCCTATGGGAGGTAAGCTTTCATTTGCAATTTGGAAAAAGTAAGAATTATTTCTAAGTATTGCTGTGTATGCAATAGAAAGTAATTGATCTATATGGGTTTTAATTCCTTTGAAAGAGTTTGAATTCTGTTTACTGATGTCACACCGAGAGATGACACAGCAGGAATCTTACTTTTTGGATGATTGCTGTAAGGATTTGTTTGTTTGTTCTTTAACACTGGAAAAAACAAAATACCAGCTACATGACAGTGGCCTGTAATTGATTGTGTGAAACTTATCCAGTCTGGTAATGTCAGTATTCGGCCACAAAAAATTCTTTGCTTTCAAAATAGCTTTGACTGTTCATGTTCATGTTATTTCAAATATTTGTCAAGTTTTGTCTGAATTTTAGATGCAAATGAAATAAGAATCAATGTGTGTTGACACAATTATATTCTACATTTTCTTTCATTTCAGGTACTTCCCACTTTACCAGTGCGACAGACTTTAGCCCCCAAAATCCAGAATGGACACAGTGGATTGGGTTGACTACTATCTGTTTATTTATGATCTTTCTTGCAACACTTTTGGTAAGTATCATTTACTCTAGAAATGTAGATTAACATATACTGTAGAATGTGACAAAAACAGATTATCCGTAGAACAGATTTGTGACTATGATTTATTTGCTCTATGTTGTACTGAAAAGATGAAGCACTGTCATAGTGAGAAACTTGGACGATACAACTGTGCTTTTAGTTTCACTTTTTCTTTTTGTTGATTAATAAAGTAGAGAGAGACTTACAAGAGCAGAAGCTGTTGGCCAATCATTGCATTGATAAACTTTGGAGATGTAAATCTAACAAATAATTTCTTATGTCAGATAAATGCATAAGGATAATTTTTTTCCAGGTATTTAGCTGCGGGAAGGACATCTTGCGGAAAGGACATCTTGTAACAGTGTGATTATTTCTCTAAGGATTTAAATTACCAGTACCCGGGTAATCTTATTTTTACTTCAAATTCACTGTGATAATGTAAGAATGTGATCTGTGTTTTTATGCTTGTCCATGATCCTTGCTTGAGAAGTCTGTTTGTATTTTTTATGAGCTTATATGTTTATGTGAGAAAGAGTTACATTTTATTGTTGTGATACGGAGCCTTGTTAGATGTCAGATGTTGATATTGTTATGTCTTCCTTGTTTGATCATATATATAGCAGCAGATGTCTCTTCCATGCTCAGCAATCGACTTCGACTTGCTATCAAACCTAAGGTATCTGGTTTATGCAATGGGTAAATAACGAACAAAGATATATATATTATGTTGATACTTACTAAGTTGTTTTCCATTACAGTATTCGACGTAATAAGCGTCCCCTCTAATAAGCGCCCACAGCGATATTTGCTAATTTATTGGCAAGTGAACAATCCAATTGGCATACCTTCCGATAGATCAATGGACACAAGACTTAAATTTAAGTGTATTTATCATTTAACTAAAGCGTTTGTCCATGACATAAGCTTATGACATAAAAACATGTATGTCATACCCAAATGACATAAGTATGCAAATTAGATATGCAAATTAGATTACCAGAAGTGGGACTTTTTTCGCCGGTGCACGTGAGTAGGTGTTTACAAACAACATGGATACCTTTGATGTTGGGGACAATGTTTTAATAAATCAAAGGGGAAGTGCTACAGAGATATCTGTGTTGACAAATGGATATTACAGGTTACAGGTTGATGGTACCGAATTTGAATTTGATAGTGATGAAGGCAGAATATCAAAACTTCCCTGTGGCCAAAGTTTCATCATCGAAACGCCATCGTCTAGTAGGGCGATGCAGACGACATACACAAAGCCGAAAGATGCCCAATGAGGACGGCATGTTCGATGGTGTGATCCTAGACAATAAAAAAAACACAGCCAAGAAAACTTTGTACGATTTGAAACTGTTCGATAACTTTCTAAAAGTCCAAAATGAATTTCGCTAAATGCACGAAATCCCCCCAAACGAACTAGACACATTTCTCTGCGAGTGTTTCGTTACGGCAAATTTATGAACCAAACAGTCTCCCGGGTTTTCAGAGCAGCATCGAGAGATCACTATAACGAAGGGGGTAGGGCTATTCACTGACGTCATCTTTAGAATTTTAACAATCAAAGGCTCGGCAAATACCGATTAACTAAGACTCGGTTCATATTTCCCATATTAAAAAACACCCGTGATGAATCCTCTATATAACACGCACTCGTGTGTTATATGCACCCTTAATTATGGGCAATTAAATTCTGGAAAAATTTATCTGTCGTATATAAAACATTTCAGGCTGTCGGCATAAACCACGAAATTAACGATCTTTCAACTCTGTATTTTTTTCACCAAAATAATATTCTAATAAGAGCCCCCTATTTCTAATTTTGAGAGCGCCCTGTGCTTAATATGTAGAATACAGTATTTGATTTTGGAAACCATTCACATACGCTGTTCACAACAAATGTTCCATTCATATTTATTCAGATGAAGTGATGCTTTGCTTTGAAATGGTTTCATTGTGTGTCTGCTTAATGCATTTTTGTGTATACTGCAATCAGAGTATAAATAATCTTGATTATTTGAAAGACCTATGACAGTAGAATGGTAACTAGTCTGTATCACCATCCACATCAAGCATCCCTATCAACAAGAACAGAAACTGGTCTGGTGAAATGTGTTTGTTGTTCAGCAGTTAGTAGTGTCATGCAAGGTCACTTTGTGTTTGTTTGTTAATGTTTGTTTGTTGTTTACCATGTCAGTCAGCAATATTCAAGCAATATTGTCTTGGTCTTTGAAAGAGTTTGGCCAGTCAAACCAGTCATTGATATTTTGAGTGACATCCCACACGGCTGCGGTATGCTGTGCACAACCCACTAAGTTGTCAAGTTCGACCACATAATGTCCTGATATTACTCAATGAGATTATTACAGACTGTCTTTCAAAAATATATGCATCACAGACACAGTTATGAAACTAGAAATTTTCTCAATGAGTGAGTGAGTGAGTGAGTTGGGTTTAACCCCGCTTTTAACAGTATTCCTGTTATATCGCGGCGTGTCAGCTTAATGAGGGAGGAAATCCCAAAGTGATGCAGGTCTCAGACTCAAAGATGTATAAATTATAATGTTACTTCTACTTACTGACCTACATTGCCAAGCAATCTCAGTGTTACAACTGGTGTATGTCGTTTCTGGGTGTGAGAGTTGTGCCTCTAAGGCATGCAAAGATTCTATGATCACAGTGAAATGGAGTCATAATATGACCTTCTCAATGTTCCCTGTCCTGCAATAATGTTATGTGTTTTACTTTCTTCTATGTTCATGTTTGATATCTTTTACTTTTGCTCTGATATTATAATATGTGCCACATAGAGTTTTTACTTAGTTATTTACTGTATTCACGTTCTATATTTGTTATGCTGCTTGGAAATAAATATATTCCACATTGAATTTTTTCTCTAAAATGCATGGTGCTTCCCTTGCAGCATCTGACATAGACTAGGTAGAGACCAGTGTCTGAGTCAACAACTACCCCTGCCATGTCAGGGATGTTTCGTTCGAACATATGCTACTCAAAGTTTACTTAGTATAAAAAATCATCCAACCAAAAAGATTAAAAAATCGCACTACATAATGATTTGGTAACCCTTCTAGGACCTCAGTTTCATGATGAAGTGACAGCAGCATGCAGTCATGGGCAAGATATGCATGAGGTGCTTGAAAACATGTGTTTGGATGTTTCAGGACAGAATTGTTGCACATTATCAGAGAGCACAACACTGACGATTGCAACAACTGAATGCTCTTCAGCACTAAAGACATCGTTTAATGACAGCAGAATTAGGCGGATCAACTGGATCAACACAACATCACGTTGCAAACCTCTTCAGGGTCAGCAGGGCATGGTATTGATACCAGAGGTCAGGATCAACACAACATCCTGTTGCAAACCTCTTCAAGGTCAGCAGGGCATGGTATTGATACCAGATGTCTGGATCAGCACAACATCACGTCGCAAACCTCTTCAAGGTCAGCAGGGCAAGGAATTGATACCAGATGTCTGGATCAACACAACATCACGTTGCAAACCTCTTCAGGGTCAGCAGGGCAAGGAATTGATACCAGATGTCTGTATCAGCACAACATCACGTTGCAAACCTCTTCAGGGTCAGCAGGGCATGGTATTGATACCAGAGGTCTGGAGCAGCACAACATCACGTTGCAAACCTCTTCAGGGCCAGCAGGGCAAGGAATTGATACCAGATGTCTGTATCAGCACAACATCACGTTGCAAACCTCTTCAGGGTCAGCAGGGAAAGGAATTGATACCAGAGGTCTGGATCAGCTCCTCAGCAACATGGAGGTGGTTGACAGCATTCCACCACAGCGGGAGGAGGGGTTTCTCCTGATGGCAGCAAGATGTCATCACTTGCAGACTGCCAACACACCAAACATTTCTACTCAGACAGGGGGCGGTCGGGTAGCCTATTGGTTAAAGCGTTCGCTCATCACACCGAAGACCCGGGTTCGATTCCCGACATGGATACAATGTGTGAAGCCCATTTCTGGTGTCCCCCGCCGTGATATTGCTGGAATATTGCTAAAAGCGGCATAAAACCATATTCACTCACTCACTCTACTCAGACAGTGTGTAATTGTCTCTGTGTGGGTGGTCTCCTGTCAGAGAGGTCATGCATTCGCATCCCACGGACCCGACATCACGGGCAGTCATGTTTGGATTGAGCTGAAGATCTCGTCATTAGGACAGTCCAGGACTGGGCTCCAGTACTTTTCACTGATGACTGGAGATACTGTCTAGACTTCACAGATTGTCGTGCCCAAGTGTGGCGTAGACAAGGTTATTGGTAAGTTGTTTTGTTGTTTAATGCCGCTCACAGCAATATTCCAGCTATATGACGGCGGTCTGTAAATAATCGAGTCTGAACCAGACAATCCAGTGGTCGATATCATAAGTCTGCATAGACAAGGAGTAAGACTACAGGATTCTAACTGAGCTGAACATGACCGCTACAGAGGGAGCTCAGTCATGATTTGGGGTGGGACCAGGAGGGCTGGAAGATGTCCCTCAGCGGGGCACGATGCTAGGTGTGTACTGCAGGGAAGAGACATTCTGGATGTGCATGTGAGACTATGCCATTGCAATCAGACTGTACATCATCCTCATGGATAATATTGCAAGACCTCATTGTGCCAGGATCGTTGATGCCTACTTAGAGCAGCATACCATTGTCTGCATTGAATGGCCAGCCCCGTCACCATTCCTCAACTATATTGAACATATGTTGAATGAGCTGCAGATCAGCCTCTCACTACGCCCCATCTTTCCATCAACGACAGGAACTCGGTAAAGAAGAGTGGAACAATCTTCCCTTGGCAACCATGTAGTCTTATTGGGGGCATGAGACCACGATGCCAGGTTGTGATTCCATCACAAGGTACCTGTACCATTAATTAACATCTTTTGACGACTGTATAGATTCAAAAAACATATTAAGATATAGCATCAAGGCTCTTTAGATTGCCTAAATTATATAGATGAGCAAGGTCATACAACGATAAAGAAGAGTGAGGGAGTGAGTGGGTGAAATAACAGATTCTACACAGGCATCCTCCCAGCATGTTCATTACACATTTATACAACAACGTGAGACAGCACTGGACATGGTTCACTGCTTGCTGACCGCCTCCGTGGTCTAGTGGTGGAGTGTCTGCCTGGAGAGCGGAAGGTCAGGGGTTCGATCTCCGGCAGTGTCATACGGAAAGTCCTTTAATGATGGTACTCCTTACACTCGGCATTCAGGGGCTAAAACAAGGACTGGTGGGCTCGGAGTTCATATACTTTGAGTGGGGTATTCAGTTTAAATGGATCATGGTATCTCAGTGGGCTAGCACTATTACATCGGTATTAGTCTGGACTAGTACAAGCAGTCATACAGACGTGCAGGAGGTCGCTATATCAGTGCAATAATCTTAAATGCGACGTTAATCCATTTCACCTCACATCACTGTATGCGGTTACTGAATGGTGGCCATGTCCTAGAAGTACGTTTCAAACGTCTCACAAATGTAACGTTTTGTGAGCTGAGCTAAATATAAATATTAAAGTTAATTGATGAAATTTAAAGGTACAGGATGAGACACCACTCGCCTCATGATTATTACATTGTTATATTTCCGAGACTCCTGAAGATCCAGGGTAGAAAAAGTTTTCGGCAAGCCATAGGAGAGTATGCTTGTCGTAAGAAGCGACTAACGGGATTGGGTGGTCAGGCTCGCTGACTTGGTTGATACATGTATCCTAATTGCGTGGATCGATGCTCATGATGTCGATCACTGGATTGCCAATTATTTACAGACTGCCGTCATATGGCTGTAATATTGCTGCGTTAAAGAACAAACAAAACAAAAAATTCAAAAGTTAAACAAGGACAAGTGAGGCCGAGGAAACATTTATATTACTCATTCTTGTACAATTGTGGAACCCAATTATTTCCGTGCTTTGTCACAGTAACACTGAGAGAGAAACAGACTCACCCCTGGGAGTCCAGTCCCCACTACATAAAGAATGTCACGAAGGCTGACTTCAACGTTAATTGGCTGTTATAATGTGTGTGGTTTGCCTGGCACTGACTAAAATTGTGGTGGGACCGCAGCGTAAAACATTCATTCACTTGAATCACACTAGCCGCTCGTGTATTCCCTTGTCACAATCAGCAGTTAAGAGTTGTTTCATTGCAAAGGTTTGATTTTTGTTGTTCAACGCTGCATTCAGCAATATTCCAGTTATATAACGGCGGCATGTTAGTAACTTACTCTGGACCAGACAATCCAGTGATTGATATTGTCATATTGTCAGCAAACGACCCATGTCGTCATGGTTCAATGACACCGAGACTGACCACCGATTCATGTTGTCGGCTCTTACGACCAGCATAGGTAAGTGAGGACACAGTCTGACCCTGAATCTCCTCAGGGTAATCTAGCAATGATATGGGGCATCGTCCGCCATCTTTGTCATTATCCACGGCTTCTTCTCTAGAACTACCGAATGTATTGTGTGCAATCGTTTGTACGTATGGCAGTGTACTCTGATCACAATGATTGTAACCGTGTTACATTGTTTCTGTTGGGATTTGGTAGACGTCATTGCATTGTGTTTTGCACAGTGATCAGTAGTCAGGAAATTACTATATTTCGAAGCTAGTGTTGTGTGTAAACTTATACCGCGGACGGTGATAGTATGTCATCGAAACTTGTGGAATGTTCCAGTGCCGCCGCTAGACTGGTAAGGGCACTGTGTAGAAATATCCAGTAGCTGGTTAGGTTGAAAATATAGCGGGACAAGAGCGTGTTCAGGTATCTCTCACACTTTTCATGACATGAAGACCATCTTTCGTGTGTGGATCACTCATCACCCATGAATCCCTCCCTAGGCCCGGAAGCTTCACCGCTTTGGAAGCTAGGTATATATTATTATCACTGACCTTTGCTATCACCAATATATTTTTATATTTGACACTGACCCCTGCCATCATATTCTATACTGTCATTGAATATCGTACTACCACTTTATTGTGTACTGCCATTGTAATTGCTGTGCAGTAATTTGTATTGATTTCTAAACCTAGTGAATTTTGTAAAGTATTGTTGATTGTATACTATTTGTTGGTTGTTTGTAGGTTTCACACTAAGTACGTTCACGTACAGATTTCTGGATTAACATACTGTTTCAATATGGAAATCGACCCGTAACAGTTCTGCTCAGAAATATTTCAAAGATAACTGTTTTAAGAGAAAGTATATATTAAATAACGTAAGGAAATTCAGAGAAATAAACATAATTGAAAAATGTTCAAGAGGCATTGATATTAATTAGTAGGTACGACATATCTAGCAAACAATACACTGACACATGAGTATGCACACATTAAATTTTATTAGACGTTACATATTTTCAAATAAGAAAAATAACTGCCATTATAAAATCGGGATGGTTTCATTGAAGATTTGGGGCGGTCGTGTAGCCTTGTCGTTAAAACGTTCGCTCGTCACGCGATTCCCGACATTGGTACAATGTGTGAGGCCCATTTCTGGTGTCCCCCGCCGTGATATTGCTGGAATATTGCTAAAGAACGGCGTAGAATCATACTCACTCACTCGTTGAAGATTTAGCATCTTGAAGATAATTTCAATGTTATGTCCTTCTCTGATCGAAGAAAGTTGGTTTCCTTAAACGTCAAAACCTCCTGAAAAAACGCAAAGGCATATATACAGTATGGGCTATACAATAGATTATGAAAGAATGACGGTAATAAGTGTATTATGCTGAAGAAATTAGTCACCACTTAATGGCGATGTTATGAATATGTCATGAGGAAATATGAGGGAGTTTTTTTAACAGTATTCCAGTTTTATCTCGGAATGAATATGATGTCATGAAAGATTGTCGTGAATATGGTGTCATGAAGGGGCGTGGTGAATATGATGTCATGAAGGAGAGTCGTGAATATGGTGTCATGAAGGAGTGTCGTGAATATGAAGTCATGAAGGAGTGTCGTGAATATGATGTCATGAAGGAGTGTCGTGAATATGATGTCATGAAAGATTGTCATGAATATGATGTCATTAAGAAGTGTCTTGAATATGGTGTCATTAAGAAGTGTCGTGAATATGTTGTCATGAAGGAGTGTCGTGAATATGAAGTCATGAAGGAGCGTCGTGAATATGATGTCATGAAGGAGTGTCGTGAATATGATGTCATGAAAGATTGTCATGAATATGATGTCATTAAGAAGTGTCGTGAATATGGTGTCATTAAGAAGAGTCGTGAATATGGTGTCATGGAGCGTCGTGAATATGCTGTCATGAAGGAGCGTCGTGAATATGAAGTCATAAAGGAGCGTCGTGAATATGAAGTCATGAAGGAGTGTCGTGAATATGATGTCATGAAGGAGTGTCGTGAATATGATGTCATGAAGGGGCTTGGATGAATATGGTGTCATGGAGCGTCGTGAATATGCTGTCATGAAGGAGAGTCGTGAATATGAAGTCATGAAGGGGCTTGGATGAATATGGTGTCATGGAGCGTCGTGAATATGATGTCATGAAGGAGAGTCGTGAATATGATGTCATGAAGGGGCTTGGATGAATATGGTGTCATGAAGGGGCTTGGATGAATATGATGTCATGAAGGGGCTTGGATGAATATGGTGTCATGGAGTGTCGTGAATATGGTGTCATGAAGGGGCGTGGTGAATATGATGTCATGAAGGAGCGTCGTGAATATGAAATCATGAAGGAGCGTCGTGAATATAAAGTCATGAAGGAGAGTCGTGAATATGGTGTCATGAAGGGGCGTGGTGAATATGGTGTCATGGAGTGTCGTGAATATGATGTCATGAAGGGGCGTGGTGAATATGATGTCATGAAGGAGTGTCATGTATATGATGTCACAACGGGGCATCGTGAATATGGTGTCATGAAGGGGCGTGGTGAATATGGTGTCATGGAGCGTCGTGAATATGATGTCATGAAGGAGAGTCGTGAATATGATGTCATGAAGGACCGTCATGTATATGATGTCACAGCGGGGCATCGTGAATATGGTGTCGTGAAGGGGCGTGGTGAATATGGTGTCATGAAGGGGCGTGGTGAATATGGTGTCATGAAGGGGCGTGATGAATATGGTCTCATGAAGGGGCGTGGTGAATATGGTGTCATGAAGGAGCGTGGTGAATATGGTGTCATGAAGGGGCGTGGTGAATATGGTGTCATGGAGTGTCGTGAATATGATGTCATGAAGGAGAGTCGTGAATATGATGTCATGAAGGACCGTCATGTATATGATGTCACAGCGGGGCATCGTGAATATGGTGTCGTGAAGGGGCGTGGTGAATATGGTGTCATGAAGGGGCGTGGTGAATATGGTGTCATGAAGGGGCGTGATGAATATGGTCTCATGAAGGGGCGTGGTGAATATGGTGTCATGAAGGAGCGTGGTGAATATGGTGTCATGAAGGGGCGTGGTGAATATGGTGTCATGAAGGGGCGTGGTGAATATGGTGTCATGAAGGGGCGTGGTGAATATGGTGTCATAGAGTGTCGTGAATATAGTCATGAAGGAGAGTCGTGAATATGGTGTTATGAGGGCATATCATGAAAAGGTCAAGAGATGAATTTGATGCCATCATGACCACCACAACACCCGTTTCTACGTGTTCTACCTTTCTGACTTGTTTTATGGAGACAAGTCAAGGCAGTGGTCTTCAACCGAGGTATTTACCGTTCAAAATATTCTTATATGTTTCGTAACATTGGAATATATTCACTCTATCGTTCAAACATTTTGCATTATTCTAGTCTGAGTATGTGGGTGATAGAATGACATGAGATAAACCACAGTTCGAGTTGCCCAGTAAACACAACACCATACCCGCAGATATCCTGAAAATCCAAGTATGCATAGCTGAGATTTATACAGATATGTCGATGTATTCGTGGGAAGTTAGAATTTCTTACAGAACATATTGTCCCAGACGAAATAGTTTATTAATGTTTCTCATTCGTGATTGAAATCCTGAGAAGACTGTCGTGAGTAAATGTTATGAAATTAGGGTAGGCTGATGTTAAAATGTTCATACAAAATGCAAGGGATATCATTGAAGGACGCTAAATCGATATTATCAATGTTCATAACAGCCTGTTGAAAGTTATGTGTGCCACCCCAGGCAGTGGATTATAAGAACGAGTATGATGTTAAAGCGGGCACTCAACAATCAATTGTTGAAATCACAATCAGGAACAGAAACATACAACAGGATTGTAGAGAAAGGATGTGTGCAGGTAGGAGTTTCGCTTCCCAATACCTTCTTGACAGATACGTACACGTCACTTGAAATGGGAACCAGATAAACCTAATGTTCCAAAAGCATCAGTATGTGTTGGAAGTGTCAAAGGATTTTGAAGTCTATCCTGACCTTCAGTTCATCGAGATACGAGAATGAATGTCGCTAATGTTTTGACCGGTTATTCCCTGAGCTGACAATGAAGAGTGAGTGAGTGAGTTGGGTTTAACGCCGCTTTTAACAGTATTCCAGTTATATCACGGCGTGTCAGCTTAATGCGGGAGGTAAGCCCGAAGTGATGCAGGTCTCAGACGTTTACCACTTCGGTGAAACCCACGAGCACGGGTATGGTGCTGACAAACCTAGAAACATAATCGGGGCGAACCGGGATTCGAACCCACAATCATAGGTTTCTGGCGTGCCCAAGGGACGCAACTCTGCACAGCGAATCGCGGCGCCTTAGACGACTGGGCCACCCGTGCCCCCGACAATGAAGACGACGAAATGGAATGATTTGGTGATTGGAATTGTGGTTGTGGTGAACATGACGACACATGTTACAGAATGAATCGTACCGGCGTGTCTGGCGTACGTTCAAACTTCACAGTTCTCAGAACATGAACCAGGGCTATTTTAGCCTTCACCAGAGCAAGCCGCATGCCAATACATTTCCTCGGACCATATCCGAAAGCAAGGAAGGAAAGCGGGTTGGACTTTTCATCATGTCTGAAAATTAAATAACGAGAAATAACCTTTGAGATCATTGATAACATCAGTCAAATATCCTATTTCAGTCTTACAGGTACAACTTCGAGATAAATGTACATAATTCTAAAGTTAAGTCGAAGTTGGGACCGAGTCAAAATGCGGGCAATGTTTTTTTGTATTATATGGTGAGGCGGTCGGGACGGGAGAATAGGTTCGATATATTGATACATTCGAGATAACGGGGTTCGAGATAACGATGTTCGGCTGTATATATGACACAAACCTTTGACAAAACTATATAACCTTGACAAAACATTAATTCAAAATGTTGAGGCAACTCTTTATGATAACTTACTGTAAATTTGCAATCGTTATCGTGCCGCAGACTGGATGGAAACAAAGCATTATGAAGGTATTTTTGGATGATTTGTTTGTATAATGATGGATGTTCGAGTACGTGGCCAACGTGTCTGAGTCATCTTCCTAAACCACTTGCCAATATCAAAGTCTTTTCACCCTTTTCAAGCAAACTTTTCGTGGCTCGATCACGGCGTGTTGAGCCCGAGCTGTGCCCATTGAGCAGAAAACGATATATCCACAGTAAATATACTCAATACTGCTGGATTTCGCTTGTTGCAATAACATAGGCACACGGACTACACAGTATCTTCTAACACAGAATGTCGTGGTAACATGTAACGCTCAGAATGGGTCGTCTAAAACGACCACTGCATCTTAGTCACTGCGATAAGCGTTCAGTCGTCGAGTTAAAATACAATGAAGTTTTAACTCAAATATGTAAAGTCACTATATGTAATGTCACACGTGATGGCTGTTGCCGTCGCAGCGGCCATGTTTTCGGAACCAGGATGTTGATTTATTTAAAACGGTCTCTGATTGGACTATCGATATGTGCGATACTCTCCTTCCGATCGTGTATCGTGTGCTTAGTTGGCTTGAAAAGTCAAAGGTGAAAACTAGACTTTGATATAGGCCACTGGACAGTCTTGCCTCGGGACGATGAGCCAGAGTCTGCCCATGTCCCATTGCCACGATGTGTGAGAGTTCGTTTGGTTTCCATAACAATATCATACATTAGAGACGTCTGGTGGATAGCATTACCTTTCTGGTTTGAAGGACTCTGGATCCTTGAAGAGCTGGGGGTCTCTTTGCAGAGCGAACACGGGGATAAAGACTGTTTGACCCTTTGGGATTGTCAACCCCTTGATCTGAATAGTTTCAGACGCTCTGCGATGTAACCTTAAAACATAGTCATAATAAACTGATGTAAATGGAACAGTGATGTTTAAAAAGGCAACTCACACGTCCTGTGCTCTAGCTATTTCCATCGGGTAGAAAATGTTTAATTCAGGCATTCTCTGTGGCGTTAAAGATCAGTTTCACAAACGACGGCTCCTCACGCTGTGATTTGGTCGTCGTACATTGCTAGATACAGAATCAAATAAATATCACAACTTCCTAAGCAAAAGACAAAGGTTAAAATATAGTGGCTTCTCAAATTTCATGGCACGATGGATTTGACTCTGGTAATACTCTGTCACACCCAGTGTCTATCAATCCGAATCATATCTTATCCCCCAATGGTACTGGTAAGGGCAGTTTTAAGAGTTGTTAATGATTTCACTTCCTTATATAGAACATATTTTTATTATTTTACTATAGCATTTATCTGTGAAATAACCCTGACATCAAAACATGCATGTCATACCCCAATGACATAATAAATAACCGGAAACGGCACTTTTTCATTGGTACACATGAACTGGTCTTGATACAGACAAGGTAACAGCAGGGTAGGGCAGGACATACATACCCTTTTCCTGAACACCTGCTGGCATCACTGATTCATTCATATCATGTTCTCCACCACTTTTCTTTTTACGCGCAAAGAAACTGTTTCGTCGGATAATCGAGACTGGTTATTCTCTGGCATTGACGTTTAATAGTTTTATTTCATATATATATATATATTATTTGAGTACTAATTTACAAGGACAATGTGAACAAGTCCTTGGTAGTTGCATACAACTTAAATAAAGTAATCCGTATATTTTGAGAATGTGTTACCAAGAATGTATCATATATCCGATGTGAGATGCCATTAATGTCAATGATCTTGGAAATGGCACTGGTTGTATTATTTCACGTGACTCTATAGTCAACACCGGTGAGTGAGTGAGTTGGTGTTTATCAATATTACAACTGACAGCTACAATCCAACTATGAGCAAACCCACAAGCGTGTCAACCTTCCCTCATTCAGCGTCAGGGACTCTGGAAGGCATCGGATGAGGCCACAGCCTTATGTTACGATTGTTACTTACGTAATGACTGGTGGGTAGAGCCTGAGCGTCTCCGTGAGGATATTGTCCAGATACTTCAGTTTCTGTATGTTGTCGTAATTAGGTTCCTCCTGGAGAAAGAGAAAGAGACTGTTGTCTCAGACTGACTGACTCGATTAAGCTGATTCAAGCAGAATCGCATTTAACACTCGGCAAACTGTTGATGATTACGTTCACCTATTGATTTGCTTCGGAAAGGTTTAATAACCATGTCTAATTTCCCAAATACCTTATTATTGATGATAATGCATTAAGTATGAAAAGTTGTCAAAAACATCATTTACTGAAGCCTTGAGTTTAAACTTTAATGTTTAATAAATTGTTTACAAATGATTCATAAACACATGCTTATGAAAAAGTCGGAATCGTTCAGTAAAAATCGTTTAGTCGAGATTTCATATGATAATGCTTTTATTTGAGAGTATTTCCCAGCCCCCTACTGTCTTCATTATGTCAAGAGAGATGATAAGTTCTTGTAATGAGACTCCTACTGACATTTCCAAGCATTTCTGTGATTTCATTGTATGCTTTCTCTTGGACATCCGGGTTCACGGCAAGGCTGTAGGACGCAAAGGTCAGTGTTGAAGCCGTTGCTTCGTATCCAGCAGAAAAAAAAACTATGCTTTGGCCAACTATTTCATCTGTCGATAGACCTGTAAATGAAAAAAATAGTGTCATCCTTGTACTGCAGAGTAGCCGTATCAAATAGTGTTATCAAGGTCAATTACGGGTTAGATTGCACCAACCAGCTGTATGCATGAACTATATCATATACACTGTCAATCTTATATCAAATATTACATTTTGATATCTGCCATATCCACTAAAACAGTGCTCCGTTTATTTGAGCAGTCCTACTTTTTCTATCGGCTGATGTACACCGGTGGTTTCCGGTCTATGTTTCTGGGTAATACACGCTTGGGAACAACACGTGTGTTGTGTTGTATGTGGAGTGTTGAGGTGAGGGCGAATGACTGCGCATAAGTATGCAGCACTACGCTGGAAGTACAACAATATCCATATAATCAGTGACAGCCGTATCACTTACATGAAGTAGTATGTGAGAGTCACAAGTGTCGTGGATCCGAAAATTGCATATACGCCCTGATTATCATCCTTGATTTGTCACACCGTGATCGTTGGTTTTACCATCTTCCCGAGGCAAGGGCGTTAACTGACTTTAAAAGTCTAGTTTCCACCCTTGCCACCAGTGGCTATTACGAGTTATGTCCCTTCTATGTCCCTCCTATTGACCAATAAGATTCCACCTCTCATATCACTTGCATTGCTTCAAACATAATGGCGGCGCCCAGTCATGACGACCTGATCGATAGTCAAGATCTATATTGTCTTACCTCGCGAAGCGCATCAAATCATTTGAGCACCTTGATTAAAAACACGAGAAGATTTGCAAAATATCTGTCGACGCCCAGTTGGCGGTACAAATCCTGTTGTCGAAATCCACGTTGTTTACAAACCGGCTGTCTAGTACGTTACTTGATTTTGATTGAACTATGCATAGACTCGTCAGTCCAGCCCCAAATCCGGAATTCCAGCCTAGTTCAGTAATGATTGGAAACTGGACTTTTATAGTCAGTTAACGCCCTTGCCTCGGGAAGATGTGGTTTGACAAACACTGTAAACGTCTAAAATCTTTAAAGTTTAGAGCTCTCTGTCTGTATACAATTGCTACAAATCAATCACTCGCTCACTCATGACGATGTCTGTACTCACGTCTGACTGCATCGCTCTCTGAGATCTGTCCCTTGGCTGCGTGGGCAATGTCATCTGAATCTGCCTCTATCTCAGCGTCCACCAAGAGTTGCAGGAAGTCGATTCTCTGCTATAAATACGGGATGTTTTCTTGTTGAAGTCTTTGAAAATCAGCCTTGGCCTCAAAGCGTCAAAGTTAAAGTGTTAAAAAATAAAGATTACAAAAATAAAATAATAAAATAAAAGCAGTTGCAGGAAGTCGGTTCTCTGCTATTAATGCAACATGTCTTCTTTCATAATTCTTTAAATAATCAGCCTTAAGGAAAGCTGAGTTATTTTTGTCCTTTAAGCATCGTACCGAATATGCCTCAGTAATATGAACATACATACTGGGTGCCTAACAGTAGATCAACACCAGCTTTGATAGTCAAATGTTATCAAGAATATCCCCAAACAGGAGTTAGGATTGTGACCATAACACTATCAACCACCTAACCTTTTGTTTTTCCCTTTTCTTGTTTTGTCGCTGTTTGATCATTTCCGTGACATTTCTTTGAAAAAAGCTCATGACACGTTGTGGATACATTCCAAACCCTCGCTTCCTTAAGGCCCGCGCAAGTCTCGGCATCACACCTGAAGCAGCCGTGGAGAGAAAGTACACCCATTCGTACATACATGTGTGAAAACTGACAATTGTCCTTTGATCAAATTCACAAACTCTTTCTAAGTGCAGCACAGGAATAATATCAGCTCCAATATTGAAGACATTGAAGACAAAAAGACTTGTGTACTGTAATATAGATGCATATCCTATTTGGAGTTCGTGCTTATGGTAGACATTTGTATCTTCTCACTCCTCGTTGTGACCTTGAGTAACGAAACGTTTTTGATAAATGATGTTGCTGGGTGTTTAATGTGTGCTACATGTTTCTTGTATCCAAACTATATCGATCATGGTTCCGTATTCACAAACATAATATAAGATAAGGCCAACGGTACCTGCTATTATTGGTAATACTCTTCTCATATTTGTATGTTGAAAGATTTCTTTAGCATTTGCGACAAAAGGGTTGTCGAAGTCGTTTTGGGAATCAATCTTTATACCAAAGGCAGTTCGTGAAATGACATCAATGGTGTAAGCCGAAAAGTATCTGAAAGAGATATGTTAGATACATTCGAGACAATAATTAGTTACTCAACTCATAGTAAAACATTTCCGTCGTTTTCTGTGACACATATTAGTGTTAACCAGAGAAGACATATTCTGGTGAATGAGCGAATGAGTATTATTTACGTCACAGTCGTCATCAATCCAGCTTTATCATAACGGCCTGGTAACAATCGAGTTTGGACGTTGCACATCAGTGCTTGCTGACTTAAGCAACGACCCACGTCTCCAGGGTGTGCAGATCAGTGCTTGCTGACTTAAGCAACGACCCACGTCTCCAGGGTGTGCACATCAGTGCTTGCTGACTTAAGCAACGACCCACGTCTCCAGGGTGTGCACATCAGTGCTTGCTGACTTTAGCAACGACCCACGTCTCCAGGGTGTGCACATCAGTGCTTGCTGACTTAAGCAACGACCCACGTCTCCAGGGTGTGCACATCAGTGCTTGCTGACTTTAGCAACGACCCACGTCTCCAGGGTGTGCACATCAGTGCTTGCTGACTTAAGCAACGACCCACGTCTCCAGGGTTTGAAAAACAATAACATAGACATGTTTACCCTTTCTTTTGTATATAGTATATATGGAATAGATACTTCCCTTTCTTTTTTCTTTCTTTTCTTCAAAGTCTTTTGAATGGATACAGTTAAAAAATAATAAGAATAGTAAGGCTATTCGCCTGTTGCCCATGCTGTGTACATGGGGTGCCATTTTGTTGCTGGTGCAACATGTCGAGGCACCCAATTCATACTTTTTAACGTAACCACGTGCTGTCCGTGTTTTAACATTCTGCCATGACTTGCCTGTAAGAATATGAAATAACAAACTGCCATTAAATGGTCTTAAATATCTACGGTGATTTCTTCGTCTTCTTTTCATGGTCCCGCGAGCCGGATCTTGTAAGTATTTTTCCTAATTATGAAATTTGACAGTGATAACAATGATATACCAGGTAAAACACAGTCGCACTCGCAAGGCGGACGCCTTGTATGGTTTTCGTCCTGGCGCAGACGACCACCTGGCTATTTGTCAGATTATGTAGTTGGCATGAACTTGATGAAATAATGACCAGAGGATCAAAAGTAAGCATAGGAAGTGCACGTTCTACTAGGTCGTCTGTCTTGTCTAGACAAAGTGATTCGCAAACTGCTGCAGTTGAGAAGGTAAAACGAAAACATGAACCTGATGAACTTAAGAAGCAGTTGGAGTAAGATAGAGAGAGAGATGTTCACATTCAGCACACGGAGGATGAAGCTTCTGAAACTAGTCATGAACTAGACAGTATGGTGAGGAGTATCAAGAATAGGAAGGAAAGTAGAAAGTCACAGGTTGCTGAAGAAAGAAGCTGAGGATAGATATAAGAAGCAGCGTTAATTTCATCATTGATTGACACTGGTCACCGGATAAAGGAGCCAGGTGTTAGTGAGGCATCATATTCCTGAGAAAGTCACACTGAGGTAACATACCCAAGGGAATAACTGACCAGTGTGAACCAACCACTGATAGACGTATCAAGCCTGATATTTAATATTCTAATGTAAGGCCATAACCACTCCTTCAATCCAAGTGCTGATGTGTTTGCAACTGGACAGAATAAGGATTCCCATGTGAATCCATCACCTGCTATTGTGCCTCAGCCTATTCATGCTTCAGATATTCCCAGTGTTGATTTGCCCATGAATGCAATGCTGATTTCATCTCTGTATGGTATTCCTGAACCTACTCTACCAGTGTTCAAAAGTGGTACGGAACGAGACTTTATCTTCCTGAAGATGGCACTTGATGTTCATCCCCGCCTGACTTAATCTTACAAGTATCAACTATTATTGGATAAACTTGGTAATAAACCAAGACAGCTTGTCGGGGCATTCATGTTTCACCCTACTCCTTATACAGGAGATGTGTAGGTGTTGCAACGCACAAATGGTAGTGCATGCCAACTGATTCAGAGTGAGATAACAGTCCACCAATTAGGGTTTGGAGATTATGATGCCTTTGAGAACTTTGCCGTGCGTATGCAGTCGTTAGTTGGGATGTTTAAATCCACGCAGAGTGGAGCTGAACTGTATTGTGCTTCACATGTGTCAACTCTGATCACTAAGCTTCCACATGGGATGCGTGATAACTTTACAGAGTACTGTATCAAACAGGGATTGTATGATTCTGGTTCTAATGCAACATACAATTGGATCTGACCCACCTTGACCAGTGGTGCTAAAATCAGGGGCCAAGAGATTATCTCATCAAGGAGTGCATAAGAGTGACTCCAGCAAGTCTGATAGGCGAATGTCTCGATGTACAGTTCTCTCCAGCCAACAAAGTAAGAAAACAAGAATAACTATCGTCCATTGTACGATTCAGACTATATCATGATCATGTGTTTAGGAATCACTATCAAATAGTGATGTTACCAGGTATTCGCGACAAGGTGAGCGTAACGCACTCAGCAAGTGGCAGCCATCCCAAACAAGTCAAGTGTTTAACATTAGGAGGCAACAATATTTATTCTGTCATAGTCTTTCACGAAGGTATTCGATCGCCAGTGTAAAACTTTACAAAAATAATAAACATGTATATGTAGTACCGGGGAACAAAACAAAACAAATCACTTCAACCCATATGACCGAATTAACAGCAAAACTTGACACGATACCTCCATACTTACTTTTTCATATTCACTGCTTCGTTTTTCCCGACGACTTTTGAAAAGTTTTTGGAAAGAGTCATTGCGCAGTCGTTGATGGCAGCACCCATCTGAAAATAGAAGAGGTGACTCATTTGTGCAATGATTTTCGAATTAAGCTGATGGTCAATAAAAAATATCATAAGTCAGCGATATATCCGGATAAATGAACTGTACTTGCGGTTAGTCAGCACTCACAGAATTCTTCTTCGTGGTTTCATATTCTTAATATAATTTGATCTAAAACGCTTAAAAAATAAAACAAGATCGCATTACGTATCTTAGACATCTTATCATGGAAACACAATAATTTTGTCGGCACAAACTTACAATATTCAAACAAAATTACCTACAGATTACGTATACATTCTACAAACCCTGTTTCAGGAATGAGTGATAGTTAAACAGACCTAATGAAACAACAGTTCTTTCAATTTTCACTTTCGTAAAAAAGAAACTCAGTAACTTCAACTTTGAAACTGATGATCTTAAATAGAGGTTTCAAATGTTAAAACGTCATGCTACATTGCAAAGTGAATCCGCCAGTTAGTAGAATACAGAAGAAGAACTTAGAACTGAGTTGCTCTGATACGTATTGAACGAAACTGTAAACGTGGTATCGATTTCGTCAAGTCGAATGGTACATTTGTATTCAAATTGGGACGGAGAAAAAGGATACTTCTCAAAAAAAGGATACATATTCTGTGAAAATTTCTGTCATTAATAACAATTTAACAACTTTTCAAATTCAAGCACACACTACCGTCCATTTTACAATGACCACAGCTCGCTCATATTGATGGTATTTATTGCGTTGTGATATGTACTTTGATATCACAAGTATACCATCAACTGATATATTATGTACAGGTACCCAAAAGAGCAAACATCCAAAGACAAGGGGAACAAATCACCAGTCTCAGTTTGGCGCTGCTGAAGCTTGGGCTGATGATGCTTCTCACTCTCTTCCAGTGGGCACCGTCCAGGAAAAACACAGCCAAATTGAATGGGTAGGGTATGATTGTGATTTTCTGGAAAATTGAGTACATACTTTATATTATTTAGAACGTACTCCACGTGTAATAACTAGATGTATACCCCTGCGTTAGAACTGTCCGAGTTCATAAAAATCGTATGTGCACTCGTGCAAATATCACTTCACGCGCACCAGTATATTGTTTAAATCATCCGGGCGGCACTGTTGACGTCGTCCTAATCTTATTGTGACGTAAGGTCGTAATGACGTCACACTAGAAAAGACGTTATTCGACAATTGTGTTTTTTTAAGACGGCGATCGTGATAAGTGCATTTCTTCTAAAGTGAAGCTCAAAAGGTTTAAATTAATCAGTACTAATAATATCTATATCCGAGTCAGTTTTAAGACTGCCTGTTTACATTAGTTCAGTGATTATCGTTGCTTGCCATCAGAGCAATAGAAATGATTACACTGTCGACGAATTTTTCATTGCATGTTCTTTATGATAATAATATAAATGTCGTATGAAGATGGTATGTTTTCAGTGTCAAAATGCTTAAAAGTTGACATTGCTTACCATCCGGTTTCTGAATGTATTGAAACTTTTCACTAAGACCTCTTTCAGAATGTCCAGATCGGATATGACTAAGGCTGGGGTTTTCCCCATGAAGATCCTATTGCAACAAAACAACACATGGTATGATAACATGACAATTTTAACACAGGACTCTACTGACTAGTCGGTATTTTCATACAAATAATCTAATCATGAAAGCTGCAGTCGTATATTCCAACTTTATCGCATTTTAGAATAACATAAACAAATGAATTAGGGCCATTGGGCCACCGACAAATGTGATGCTGATGATGGAAATGAATAGATTTCTGTTTTTTTTCTACGGATGGCCCAGGGCTCTACAAGACGCCGTAATTCGGTGTGCAGAATTGCGTCCTTCTGGCGGACCTGAAATCTGTAATCATGAGCTCAAATCCCAGATTCGCCCTGATTATGATTCTAGGTTTGTCATTACCATCTATACCCGCGCTCTTGGCTTTCAACAAGGTGGTAAACGTCTAAAACCTGCATCACGTCGGGCTTTCCTCACACATTAAGCTGACAGCAATGATATGACGGGCATACTGTTCAAACCAAACACATTCACTATTGGCAATATGACCATCCAGTGCCCGTAAGATATGTATCTTAATTGAAGAATATCAGAACCATATAAACAGAAACAAAGTGAATGGGATTTTATGTTTCGCCAACATCCTATTCGAGGGTTTTGCTTCTAAAACCACTGATAATCATTATTAAACAACAGCCAACTGAGAGCATTAGTCACTGATGCCAATTCCGGCGCATACGATTATCATAGACATGGTGCTACCAGGTAAAGATACAATAATGGATGAACAACTTCTTTATTACATATAGGAACGAACAAGTTGATAACGGTGTAACCTAGTACACAAAAACTTCCCTCCTAATTGAAATAAGGAAGTTGTTCATCTGATTATCTTATCCTTACTTCGTACTCCAAATTCTAAATGCCTCTCAAAGAAGTTAAAGGTGCTATCATTACGTCCCAGAGCACCCTGAAGCCACGTGCATGTGCTAGATGTTCCTCTGTATATGCATCTTCTAGATGTTACTCTGCATGTGCATGATCTAGATGTTACTCTGTATATGCATGTTCTAGATGTTACTCTGTATATGCATGTTCTAGATGTTACTCTGTATATGCATGTTCTAGATGTTACTCTGTATATGCATGTTCTAGATGTTACTCTGTATATGCATGTTCTAGATGTTACTCTGTATATGCATGTTCTAGATGTTACTCTGTATATGCATGTTCTAGATGTTACTCTGTATATGCATGTTCTATATGTTACTCTGTATATGCATGTTCTAGATGTTACTCTGTATATGCATGTTCTATATGTTACTCTGTATATGCATGTTCTAGATGTTACTCTGTATATGCATGTTCTAGATGTTACTCTGTATATGCATGTTCTATATGTTACTCTGTATGTGCATGTTCTAGATGTTACTCTGTACATGCATGTTCTAGATGTTACTCTGTATATGTATGTTCTAGATGTTACTCTGTATATGCATGTTCTAGATGTTACTCTGTATATGTATGTTCTAGATGTTACTCTGTATATGCATGTTCTAGATGTTCCTCTGCATGTGCATGTTCTAGATGTTACTCTGCATGTGCATGTTCCTTTTGTTTCTCTGTATATGCATGTTCCTTTTGTTTCTCTGTATATGCATGTTCTAGATGTTACTCTGTATATGTATGTTCTAGTTGTTACTCTGTAGATGCATGGTCTAGATGTTACTCTGCATGTGCATGTTCCAGTTGTTTCTCTGTATATGCATGTTCTAGATGTTACTCTGTACATGCATGTTCTAGATGTTACTCTGTATATGCATGTTCTAGATGTTACTCTGCATATGTATGTTCTAGATGTTACTCTGTATATGCATGTTCTAGATGTTCCTCTGCATGTGCATGTTCTAGATGTTACTCTGCATGTGCATGTTCCTTTTGTTTCTCTGTATATGCATGTTCCTTTTGTTTCTCTGTATATGCATGTTCTAGATGTTACTCTGTATATGTATGTTCTAGTTGTTACTCTTAAATGCATGGTCTAGATGTTACTCTGCATGTGCATGTTCCAGTTGTTTCTCTGTAGATGCATGTTCTAGATGTTACTCTGTATATGCATGTTCTAGTTGTTTCTCTGTATATGCATGTTCTAGATGTTACTCTGTATATGCATGTTCTAGATGTTACTCTGTATATGCATGGTCTAGATGTTACTCTGTATATGCATGTTCCAGATGTTACTCTGTATATGCATGTTCTAGATGTTACTCTGTATATGCATGTTCTAGATGTTACTCTGTATATGCATGTTCTAGATGTTACTCTGTATATGCATGGTCTAGATGTTACTCTGTATATGTATGAGGTGATGAGATGAACCTACCCGAATACGCTTCCATACTGCTGTTTCCAGGAGTAGAACTTAGAGTAGAAAGTCTGAAGGAAAATAAACAATAGACTTATCATATTTTTCATTTCATTTGGTGAAAGCCTCAACTATCCTCTGTAAATTTAAATCTTTTGAGGGGACACGTTGTTCGTATTTACCAACAGTCAGAACGTTACCCGGTAGATGTTCTAAGGACGGTTTATACCTAAGTCAGATTTCATATGTTTATGAAGGGAACAGGACAAATTGTCAGGGTATGCTTTTGGTGAATTTCGGGAAACGTGCCATAAGTATTTTTATCATTTTGAAACTTTATTTTGGTTTCGTCAATTCTTCAAATGATAAATGAAAGAAATGACCATTATTTATAAAGTATATCGAAAATTGTATTTGTAATGTCTTCAGGTATTTTCAGTTGTTAGTATAATGTTAACCACTCGCGACTTGGTGAATCTGCATTCTGAATCATTCGATGTAAAGTCCAGCACAATTTGAAATTAGTCTGATCTGAAGTCTCAATTCTTGTTCGACCTGCCTCTCAGAAAATGATCTGACGGCGAAAGGTGGCAAATAATGACATGAGAAATGTCCCTCAAAGCTGTTGTCGTCTGCTCGGTTACCACCATTCAGTTATAAGCAGGATGAGGATGGCACAGGCTCACCGGCAAACTAAGGAGGCAAAGGACCGTCTAAGGTTTGGGGGACTCGTGTGACATGGGGACACGAAAATTGCTAGCTGCCTCGCTTGTTTAGGCGACAACCTTAGTGATTTCTACGTTTTAGTTGGCATCGTACAATGTAGAGATGATTTGTGACACTTTTATTCACAAGCATCTTTCTGAAGAAGAAAATGGTGCAAGAGACACTTGTGATCACGGGCAGTTGGCAATCGACTCAAATCAGCAGGTTTGATGTCAAGGAAGGTAATCAAGCATCCTTTACTGTCTTACGTCATCGCAAGGTGTTTGGCCAGACGTGTCTTGGACCCGAGGACATAGATGAAGATCCACTGCGGGGTTACCTGTCTGCAAGCTCGAGATGGTCAGCATGCAGGGGAATCTGACAGGTCAGGGCGTCAAATCCTGGATCCGATCATTGTACCACATTTTGATAACCACCCTCTGGCTACTAGACACGTCTACATGGGCGGCAACGCGAGACCACAACGTTCTCGAGAGGCAGCAGAGCTCCATCATTCTCGACGGGTAGCAGAGCTTCTCCAACAGAACACCATCCCTAGGCCCTACCAGTCCGGATCTCAACCCACTCAAAACACCTGGGACATGCAGGATGCGGAAGCTGAACCCAAACATTGCACCGAGAATGGTAAAACCTACACAAGAAACGCACCAGACTCACTGGAGCCATGAATAAGAGGGCGGAGGTGGCTGATCACGCTATTGAGAATCTCATAACAGGACATCATGCGGTGGCCATCACGGTCATGTATAGCAACAACGTACCAGCCACAACTGTGTGGCCCCCCTTGCAGCTCAACATTAGATCACACACCAAATGTGTCAATAATAAACACAATGAAATGTCCACCAATGCTATGAATACCTTTTTGTAAAATGTTAAGATTTGTGTCCTTATTTGTCTAACAAGAATTATTATTTCAGAAAAGAGCATATTTGCTGGTATCTATACCATATACGTAAGAGCCAACCCATAGGTTTCCAAACCTCATGGCCAAACTAGCAAGGGACGCTTAACATTTTCACACATAAACGCGAGGCATAAGGCACATTACATCAGAAGAGACGAGACCTACGTCTGCCCACCTGTGAACCTGAACTATTGACCATATGCTTGTTTTAACATTTTTTACGAAAATGCCATGCACAGACATTACTGAAAAAACTTTCATATCATTTCAGGAAATGGTCAGTTCTTACAAGACTCATGTTGTACATATCAAAATGTTTTAGTGACTCTATCTGAACCTACAAAGCCAATGCTGCATCCAATGAAAGGGTAGGATGTTGGTCCAGGGATGCCTAGCTTCTTGAAGTAATCATAGTTCGAGGTTCCATATCTGAAAAATAAATACCATTTATACGGTCACGCTGGTTATTCAGCTTCATAGCATTGTCCAGTTGCAAGACTTCTCTGAGACAGGTAGCTCAGGCGGTAAAACACAATCCTGGGCTGCAGTTTAAGAAAGCAGACAGCAGAAAGATGTATTACTTATACGTAGTAAAGGTACAAAAATGGACATCTTATTTAAGAACTGACCTTCACTTTGTGAGAGTTCATATTAAACTATAGTGAGTGAGGTCCAAACATTTTGAACGTCGGAGCTTGCGACAAGCGGTCAATTGTTGCAATGTTGTGTTTGAAGTGGCACGGTACATGTGCCTCTTACTGCAACATACGAACTAGCGACTTCCTGTATATGTTACAGTTAAAACGTATAAGCAGTTATTATGTACAATTCTTGCATTTTCAGGTATTGTGTGTAACAACTGATTCACTCAGTTTTTGGACATAACAACTGAAATTTTCAGGTATTTCAAATAATACCTGATAAATGTCAGGTACAGCCACTCTAAGATAAATGACACGGTCATTTGACATATCGCCCATAGTGTGGATTGATATCGCACAATCATTCAATTCAGGTATTATGTATGATACCTGAAATTTCAGTTATTTTGCACAATAACTGAGTGAATCAGGTATTACATATAACACCTGCAAATCGGCCAAATTAAAAAGCATGAATAGTGGTGTTAATGTGAATGATTTAAATATGGGTGTTATGTTATATGCTTATGATATTTCATTATTTGCTACCACGGAGAATGAACTGCAAAATATGTTTAAATATGTCAATGAATGGTGACAAAAGTGAAGACTTGCGGTTAATCCCACAAAACTAAGATTGTTCATTTTAGGCCAACCAACACAAATTGCTCTGGTGAAACTCTTTTGAAGAATAGTAACAACTATAAATATCTTGGTTTGTGGCTCAACGAACACGTGGACTTTAAGTTCACAATTAATGAACTGGCTAAATCGGCAAGTCGAGCTTTTGGTGCTTTTTTTGTACTAAATATTTTAATGCTGGTGATTTAATTATGCAATTTATACTAAATTGTGTGAATCTTTGGTTCAGCCTATTATCCAACATGGTGCTTCCATCTTGGGATTGTATGAACATTAAAAGTTACACACTGCAAAACAAAGCATGTAAATGTTTTCTTAGCCTAAGACGTAATGCCTCAGTGTTGCCGCTAGGGGAGACAAAATTATGTTGGAAATCATGTGCCACGAAGCAACGCATAGAAGTATTTCGTCTATTCTTCCGCCTTAACAGTATGGAAATTATAAAACTGCCCCGTATTATTCATGCTTGATCAAGTAAAATAGGGCGCCCATGGGAAAAGGAAGTTTACAAGCTTGCTGGAAACCTTAACGTCGCCGACGTGATCGATGACCAGTCGATGACACGTGGTCAGTTGACTCTCCAAAAGCAAAAAACATATTTCAATTGGATGAAACTGACTGGATTTTAGAGCTGAGGAATAATGTAAATAATGCTAATGGTAATAAACTAAGAACATATAGATTGCTAAAGAAGGATCAAGCACCTGAGCCCTGTGCCTTATCAAATATGGTCCATAGAAACACAAAAAAAGTATTTGACACTCTTACGCAGTGGCAGCCTTCCCGTTAACATTGAAACAATGAGTTACCCCTGACACGCGCAACTTTCTTTTTGGAGCTAAGGATAGTGACTTGTGTATACATGCAATCTCTCACGCTTCTTGTTGGTATGCGGTACGTGGCTATCCTCAAACCTAATACATGTAGATATACTTAGTTTCAAAAGAAACGTTCATCACTCCTACCAGCGTTAACTTCTGCCAGACAGTCATTTTGAACCCACTATAGGCCTGTGTCAGTACACACAGTGCATCAGCAGCACATCGCAGGTGCCGACGTCCATACTTTTGATTTGCGTTTCTTTTGGAATTGAGTATATATGTATTTCTACTTACAAATAGATCAACACAGCTGCCACCACGACCAGAAGCAGATACAACGGGACGTCCACCAGCCCCAAGATCTCCATGTTGATCTGACGACTAAAATGATGCACGTCCTTTCTCGTGCACAATAAGATTCGAAATAGAAGGCACGTCCACTTGCTCTGAAGACTGGGTGGCAATGGCAAGTGTTATTGTCCGTGAAGCAGACTGTCATAGGTCACAGATAGGGTTTTTAATAAGTTGTGTTGACATTGGTTTCAGTAGGGAGTCTAATTAATTAGTGTAGACATACCCCTCTATACACTTAATTGAATACTCAGTGGGCAGCCTACATGAATGTCGCGTCCCGTGATGTTGATCATTGTCCGCCCAGTCACTGGTACCTGGTTGATTACTTACAAAGCGGCATGATGCTGCTGTAAACATGCGAACATTGACTGCACTCAAATTACGAACTTTAACAGGGGGAAAGGATGATATGTTATGAGATAATATTACGTATCAGAAACTAGGTGAATAAACAAGCATTTCAAAATTAATTCTTCAAATAAGAATTCCAAGTGTGTCGGTTTTACACATTTGTTGTTTTGTAGAAACCAACCAGCAAATAGAGGAGACAAACTTCTTTCATATTCATAAGAAATCTCTGTTGAAAGATTCCGGCTATATCAAGAGCATGTGTAAATGAATCGTTCTGCTACCTAATATTGATGATACCAAGTGTTCGTTAAAAGGTGAGCCAATCCTGCCCCACCGGTGGCACCCATCACAAACACATTTACAGGCACATCATTTGTTCACCTGAAAAGATACACGGGGTAAAGATAAAGATAATTTAGTTTATTCAAAATTAGGCACATATATTTATACGGCATAGACAAGGACGTCACAGAATCACAGATATTGAAATGCAGTATTAGCATTAGTAAGTACACCGTAGAACACAGTACAGTGATACTGTAATGGACACACATTCATGTTTATTAGACATTACATATACTCAAGGTCAAAGGTACAAAAAACTTTCATTTTCTGTCAAGGTATGATGTGGTATGTAATAGGGCCGACGAATGACACACAGTTCCTTGTAAATACTCAATTCCTATTTTTTTGTTACGTTAGTTGAGGTACAATGACTACGTCTATTTCATAATACAGAATTCTGAATAATTGAAACGATACGGATAAATGACATGTGATATCAGCACACATTACATTGGCACAGTCACGTCCGAGCACTTGTCATTCACTTGCAATCCCTGCTTGGATGTACATCTAGATTTATTTGGTATGACGACACATGTACTTAATATTAAGCCTGAGCTTCTGCAACTGGAACCTATAGCTACCTTTTTAACAACCCTTAACACCACCACCACCACCACCCCCACCACCCCCACCCCACCCAACCCCCAGATACGTCAGTACCTTGCATGCCCAGTATAATGTATCATAGAACAGTCCAAATGTTTTCAAATAGAGACAGCCACATAGAGGACAATGTATTGTTATGTGACATCTTCAAATGTGATATCCGTTGTTATGACAAAATCTACTGAAGAATATTCTTCAATAGTTTATCAGAATCATTTCACGTCAGGAGAATAAGTAGGGCCACAAACACACACACAAATGTAAATTAAAAATCGGAAAATAAAATGGTACTACTGAAAGCATGTAATAGAGTTCAACTCTAAATTGCTCCAACAATTGTGACGCGCTTAAGGGCAAAAAATAATGGCGATTTTGTTGCTAATATCAATTGTCCAAGACATATTAAGTCGATTCCCGAGAGAGAAAAAAGTATCATTATATTCGTTGAAAGTCTTTAGATGTCAAAACAAAACACTTTGGGGGCGTGGCCTAAAGCTACCGGCACAAAGTACAGCAAAACGTGACAAGTGTTTTCATTGGCTGGTATGTTGGCTGGCTTGTGATGCTTGGCAGCCAAACGGTTACGTCAGAAAGCGGTCATTCTAAAAGTGTTGCTGTTTCTGCTAACCCTGCAAAAAAAACAATGCATACATTGCTGGGTGTATAAAAACGACCTTTCATCTTGACATTGTGAATATTTAAAATAACAATTAATGTCTGTAACGAGCTTTTGACTACTAATATATTGTATAGGTACCATAAACGCTGACTTCCTATTTGTCCAGCTGCTGGCTAAGGGATACTCCCCAGTGTGTTTGTTCAAACAGTTGATAAAAATAATGAGCACTGTATTAAATATAATCTTATCTGTCCAATTTCATATTTCACATTTCCATTTACATAATTCACAGTCGAGACGTGAAACACTGGATTCTGATTGTTCACTGGATTCGGATTGCAAGAAGTTGTCTCTTCTCCCACTCAAGACACTGTCCAAGTTTCGATACTTTTGTCCTCTTGGGTGGCATCAAACTACCTTGATTGTGATCGAAGTAGTATCCTGCTCAAACTGCAGTATCTCAAGGAGCTTGTACATTTGCCACCACTCGAGGTGATCTGTGGCGTCGTCCACTGCTCGGAGACATAAATGTGCTTCGTCATAAAGTCATCTGTGCTGTTAATGGTGATTGGGCATCCTCTTTAAGAACATTTGTATCTGGTTTCAATCGTGAACTTGTATCCGGCAAAGACCAAGTACCGATCCCTCTGAGAATTTGGAATATACTGTAAATCAAACTGCGCACTGTGGAATACTGTTTCTTGTCTGCAATCCCTTTTACAGCCCAAATCGTACTAAATGATTACTATGTTCTCTCACTCATTTATATATTTTTTAAACGTTTTCACTCACTACTGTGTATGTGATGTGCCGTTATATTCTGTGAAATATTCACCAATTGTACCCATAACAATATGTGCGGAACAAGACCCCTAATAAACCACCGCCGACCCGATCGTTGAAACTGCACAGCCTGTCAAGCAGAGGGAAGCCCCTTTAACGTCCAGGAAGGCGAAGCCCCTAGCCAGAGGGTAATATATTTTGGGTTGTTGACGACTTTGCGTGTCGTTTTTTAATCGTCTTTTTTACACTTACGATTTTTAAGTTTAATTTTGGTCAAGTATTTGTGATCTAAGTATGCCCTAAAGCATTAAAATCTGCACAGTTGCTATGTTAACTTTACTTGCCCGTTAAAACCCATAAGGCGGGAAAGATATTATTCAAAGTAGAACGCATATAACTTATAACATTGATTGTACAAAATCAAAAGAAACAAAAATGATATACATGCTCATCAAAAGAAACGCGAAAACATCACTGGATGTTTGAGATCAAATAATTGGTCCTTGTCGTCGAAACGGTCAGTAAACAATAACACATCAGGTGACGTCACCATCTACATCAGTGGGCTTTGTACCATGTCAATTAGCGTATACCTCTGACAGAGCATTTTAATTATAAACATGAATCACGTGGTGTTGAACCTAGTCACATCGCAATGATTTACTATTAATATACGAAATTGTTAAGGACAGAAATGACTGACAATTACTGACAACCACTGAGGTGTTTGTGAATGTCTTGATTCAACACTGCTCATGTCACAGTTCTGTCTCAATAACAAAACTTTCGAGGAAGCGTGAATGGTGTCTAAGGGACACAACATTTCACAGCAAATTGCCACGCGTGAGACGACTGGGCCACAAGTTCTCCTCTTCGTGACACAGTTTTGTAAGGTATCCAATAGGTTTCCCTCCTTTATGATGATGATGATGATGATGATGATGATGATGATGATGATGATGATGATTATTATTTACAGATTAAAATTAAAAATGAAGCAAAGAGGGTTTGGGTGACACAGTCAGGCTGGTTAGGGTCATCATCAGCTCAGGGTCCTTGGCCCCTCTGCACGCAGCCCAGACAGAGAATGGGACTTCTCCTAGGAAGCGATGCCTAGTCAAACCCACCCAGAACCTTTTGGAGAATGTGAAGACTCCTCCAACCCTGCAGCCTTCTGCATTGCCCAGATTGTTAGAAGGGCTGTATTCCTGGTAGCAAACCCGGGGACTCTCCAAATGTCAGTCAATAGATTGGGAGGTACCAAACCTAAGGCACCGAGAACAATGGGGAGTCGGACAACTTGGTACTTGGGATGCAAGCGTGACATTTTGAAAGCGAGGTCGCATATTTGCAATGTTTTTCCTGAATCTTGTCAATCACATTGGTGTCAAAATGGACAGAAACTATTTAGTGATATAAATGATTTCAGGACAAGATTAGGTTTTTTGGCCTGGATATGTCTGAGGCTGTAAATCAGCCTATTCCAAAGAATTTTGTATTCATCATTTTCCATGACGCCCTCTACATATTCTGGATCGTACCATGGATGGACCTCTGTGTCAAAACCACAAGCATTGCGAAGACGGTAATAAAATTATCGAGCCACTCGATCTTGTGCTTAAGATACTGTGTTTGTGCCAAAGCTGAAAATCCACGCACATTGTGTTGGGCAGTCTCATTAAATGCATTACATAATCTACATTTCATATTTACATTTTGATGCAAAATCACACATCGACGGTTTCGAGTGGGAAGTGACTGGCCCTGAGCAGCAAACAGGAAGCCTTCAGTTTCACTTTTCAGTCAAGACGACCTTATCCAAGCGAAGGATTTGGATTTTCTCAACACATTGCACATAAACTCGATGCAGTGGTTGTTCAGAAAGCCTCTCCTTGTAAAGTTGAGTCTGGACCGACTTGATATTGCACTTTGCTTGGTTGACACTCATTTATGTACCGTCCAGCAGTACAGAACCAACAACAAAATCCACACTGACATTGAGATTATGTCCCACATCCTTGGCTCGTTTACGAAAACTGTGGAATGCCTTGTTTTCATCATGACATACTTCACAAGAGGATCATCAGACAAATAAATGTTCGCAAAAGTGCACAAAACAATTCTATCATGAAGAGCCTCCACCTTAATCAAACCACGCCCTCCCATCATAATTGGTAAATATAAGCGATTGACATATTGTCTGACATGATTCTTCGTTGTTTATTATTATTATTAATAGTTTTATTATTATTGATAATAATAATTACGTGAGCTGCTGGTGCCTCTCCGCCTTGCTCAGCATCTGGGAGATAATTTCAGTCGAATGTCCTTTTCTGTCTGAAGAATGTTTGACAACTTAAACGTCAATACTTCCTGTAAACAAACGAAAATATATGTACATGCCTGTTGACCCATATGTTTAGTAAAGAAAGTATGTTCCGTGTGAGTGTATTATGCTTAATGTCACTGACAAAAGAAGGTATTCATCCCCAATATTATGACTGTGCCCTGGGGGCAGATCAGGAACATGATAGGAACAGGGCAGTATGATCCCGGTGCAGGGATGGTCATCTTGATGAACAGACTGCCACATATCACGACAGACAAACATCTCCAGTTTCTAAAAGTTTGGTTTTACGCTGATTTTAGCAATATTCCACCAGTAAAGCGTTCTCTCGTCACACAAAATGCCAGGGTTCGATTCTCCATATGGATACATGTTGCTGGATTAGTGTTAACAGCGGCGTAACAACTCCCACTCACTCACTCTGAAAACGAATCCCGCAAGAGGAACACGTATTTCCCTATTAGGTTCATGATGATAATCATGAGACACCTTTCATGCCTAATTATTATGCAAAATCATTTGTTAAACTCTCATACAAACCAATCAGGTGTAAAAACGATGTCCACAATTGTTTATAACAACTGGGACGTGTCTTTGAATACTGCATTAAATGATAGATTAGTTTGATGTTAATCGAACTGAGATGCAAACACACATATTTTTATTTCTTGAAACAAAATTGTCAACAAACTCTCTTCACATACTATGGGTGGAACAAAATGGAAAAGCTTGTTTTTTTTAATCCCAAAGCTTTAAACCATGTGGTCCATGACCAAACACATTTTCTCGTGCTCGAAACTTATTTTCTTGTTCTTGTAAAAACACAGTTGTTACTTCAAGCATCATGGCACATAATTCAACTAATTTTTATAATATAATTCAACTACTTTAGCTATTCAACTACTATTTAAACACCTTGTGCATGGACCAACGTTTCCTTTGCTCAAAACTTTTCTCTTTTCACACCCACAAGGCTGTGAATAGCAGTATCATGATTTATAATTATTTACATAATTCAACCAATTTTTGACGTTATTAAAATAGTTGGCCCTTTCCTCAAACTCATTTCTTGGATTTAAGAAAGTTAATAACTAGAAATATGCTAACCATGAATAATTGTACAGCTACACTAAGACAACTTCTACTTGTACATGTTTATAATAGCTTCAGACAAAATATTTACAAGCATGCAAGAATGCATCGTGAATTAATTATCAGATTGTTTTGACATTTTTTGCATTTGCTAAGAAATCATCTTTTTGAGAGGGGGAACATCTCAGTGACTATTTCTTACCTGAACAGTAAGAAGCCTATATGATATAATATTATACAGAATCCCTTCTTTTGGGTATAATCAGCGAATCTTACCATGCACCACCATGAGGACGAAAACAAGTTCTCTCCACAAATGGCGAATACTAACTCAGAAAACAAGATACTGAAACATACATATAAGAATCAATTTCGAATATCCCGATTCCATTGGTATTAAAGGCAAACCTGGGGTGAAAATTACATGAATGGATCACTGAAAATCAGTGATGACACCAGGTGTTCGCAAAAAGGGAAATGATGCCCTACCGGTGGCACCCGCCACTCACACAGTTGGCATGTTTCACACATACCTCGCGAATAAAACCCAGATTAAAGTTGTTGTCATGAAATTACATTCCAGGGAATTCATTGAATTGCAGTGATTTTCACAAACTTTCTTTCACAGGGGAACAACAAAGATAGCGGTGGGCACCAGGATATTGCAGCAGCATCGGATTCACTTTAACTGAGCATGCACCATAGGGTGAGATGGTTGCGTCCTTGAATAATTCCCTCTCTCCTTAGGCTAAACGTTTGATGAGAAAACTGTTTTAAAACAGGAAACTTCTTCAAGGCTCATACATGTCCAATAATTCCTGTCGCCACGTTCCCAAAACGTGAAATCGATTTATGAAAGCCCCGCTAAATTGTAAAGAACCTTGTACAACGCGGGATTCGTTTTCCGAACCCGCAGTTCTCAAATATGGAAGGCTAACCGTTTGATGAGAAAACTTGAAAACACAAATATGGTAGCCTTCACATTTTTGTTTCATGTGGCATAGACAAGAGAATTGATATCTTTTTGGCTTCTGTGATTTAATTCCCAATGCTGGCGATGATGAAGATGAAGAACATCGAGATGATAAACAAATGATATGATAATGATGAATACAGGGATGAATTGTACCTGTGTGTCGGGCATTCGTTCAAACTTCACAGTTCTTAGAACATGAACCAGGGCTATTTTAACCTCCACCAGAGCTAGACGCATCCCAATACAGATTCTTGGACCATATCCGAAAGCCAGGAAGGACAGCGGATTGGACTTTTCATCATGTCTGAAAATTGCAGTAAATGAAATAATGTCCGACTGGAGGTTATGCCTGACAAATATCATATTTTACATATTGTCCATTACACATAATCTAATATATTGAAGCAAAAGAGCACAATCTTTATCCTAATGTAAATGACAGTCCCTTTGCTGACACAATATGATTATGAACATTAATATTCCGTGTTTGCAGACAAAGCCTGAATAGAAACAAAGCAGACTGAGCTCAGAAAGGGGGTCTGTTTTCATAATGTGTGTTTGTTTGTTGTTTAACGCCGCACTCAGCAATATTCCAGCTGTATGACGGCGGTCTGTACATAATCGAGTCTGACCCAAACAATCCAGTGATTGACATCATGAGCATCGATCAACGCAATAAGGATACGATGACCATCATCAACCAATTCAAGGAGCCTGATCACCTGATCCCATTAGTCGCCTCTTACGACAATTATAATCGCTTTTTACGGCAAGCATGGGTTTTCATTATGATGGATGCTGACACAAACTGAATAGTGTCCATGCATATGCCTGGGTGCATGTGCGTGAATGCCATGTCCCACTGCTAGTGCGAGGGTGGGTGAACATCTGGTGGATAGCATTACCTTTCTGGTTTGAAGGACTCTGGATCCTTAAAGAGCTGAGGATCTCTTTGTAGAGCGAATGTGGGGACAAAGACAGTTTGACCCTCAGGGATTGTCAAGCCTTTGATCTCAATCGTCTCAGAAGCCCTGCGATTTAACCTGAAATACAATATCAAGTCTGAATAAGCATGTTCACTTATGTAAACTGCTTCTTTGTACTTCTGACTCTGGTAGGTAGTCGAATATATTCTCAATGTTGTTGAACATGAGGCATTATGCGTCCAAAATGATCAAATAATTTTTGGAGACATATGTTTATCAAGCATATCCTGTTGTGTCAGTTTAACATAAGATGGGCACTGCCTGTTAGATTCTGTCATTGATTCGTCACATTTGAGCATGACACTTTTCCCCAATCCCCAAACCTACGACTCATCTGTATTGGCTTTCAAACTGTCATACCGTGGACTTGCACCACGAGTAGAAATACCCTGTGGGCACTCGTCCCATTGTGTTTATAATAGAGGTGGGGGCCACTTATAACAAATAATATAACAGCAGCCTACTATAGACTCACATACATATTTTGTGCGAATCTTGATGTGACCTTTACCTTACTTCTTAGGATGCAACAACGAGAACGTAGAAAATGTTCACTCAGCAGTAAATGGGTACCTGGTAGGATGAGATGGTAATGTGACTGTTAACCCTACTAGCGCCTAAATGTTTTGGTTGTATAATCCCCAGGGAGCTGACAACAAATATCTGCCACGTAGGGGGTTACATTGTCACAATTTGTGTAACTTTTGTAAACTTACGCAATAACTGGTGGGTAGAGCCTGAGCGTCTCGGTGATGACTTTGTCCAGATACTTCAGTTTCCCTATGTTGTCATAGTTGGGTTCCTCCTGAGGAAAAGGGACAAGACTGTGTCTACCACTGACTGACTGTCTGATGTAGAAGATTTATCGAGTGCTTCCAGCAGAACCTCTTTTAACACCCGGAGGGGCGGTTGGGTAGCCTAGGGGTTAAAGCGTTCGCTAGTCACGCCGAAGACCCGGGTTCGATTGCCCACATGGGTGCAATGTGTGAAGCTCATTTCCGGTGCCGTCGTGATATTGCTGGGCTATTGCTAAAAGCGGCGTAAAACCCTACTCACTCACTCACTTTAACACCCGGACATCTATTCCTGAATAAATATACCGCTCATCTTGCCTCATGGTTTCACAAAGCAATCTCAGACAAAACGATCCTGATCCCCATACTTGAACGTTGACTTATGACAGGTATATAAACATTTTCATTTTCTCAAGCACTTAAGACGATCATGACAATAAAGTATGAGTAATCGTCAGGTTGCAATATCAGTTTAAATTATCTTCTCATTTTACAATGACAATAATGTTTTGAGTTGATCCCTCAGGTGCGGATGTCGTATTATATAATAAGGTTAAAAGTGAAAATATCTATGCACCCAAGTGTTAATACTGACATTTCCAAGCATTTCTGTGATTTCATTATACGCCTTCTCCTGTGTGCCCGGGTTCATGGCGAGACTGTATGACGCAAAGTTCAGAGTCGAAGCAGTTGTTTCGTATCCAGCAATGAAAAACAAAATCCCTTGGCCAACAATTTCATCTGTTGTTAGTCCTGTAAAAGTCGAGGTTATGTCATGTATTTAACGCCCTGCTCAGCTACATTCCAGATATAATGTTGACGGTAGCCAGTGAACAATCGAGTCTGGATCAACCAAACCAGTGATTGATATAATGAGCAACGTCCTACGCCATTGGTGAATGTAAAAGGGCAATTAACCAAATCACTGCCCGCCCTATGCCAGACATGTTGTTCATGCCACATTAACACCCAACTCACTCATCAGTGTGCCTGTACTCACGTCTGACTGAATGTTTCTCTGGGATCTGACCATTGGCTGCGTGACCGTTTTCGTCTCTATCTGCCTCTATCTCAGCGTCCACTAAGAGTTGCAGGAAGTCGACTCTCTGCTGTAGAAATGAGATGTTTTCTTGTAGAAGTCTTGAAAAGTCAGTCTTCGCTTCAAACGTCATTAAATCATTTAAGGCAAGGTGTTTTCATTTTCTCTATCATTTTGTTGGTGGCATTAATGTTTGTAAATCCAATATAGGTTGAATAAATGGATATTGAAAACATTTGAGATAACCTTGACTAGATTTTGACAGCAGACTTTGGAATGGTATCACCGGAGAATAATGATCTATAAATAGAAAGTTCCAAGCAGGAAACATTGTCATGACTTTCAGATATATGTGTGAACGTCATGAAAATTATCTTAGCAAACTCAGTAGCTCCAGTGTAGGCAACATTATCATCTGTAAGTCACAGTATATATTTTCAAGCACATTTCTTTGGCATGTTTTCTTATAATATAGATATTTTTTTCGAGAAAACATTCACATCGATTGCAAACATTTTTCAATAAATATTTTACTTCTTTACCAAGTATGATTTTAGTATACTTCTCAGAACACGATACATGACAAAGAAAGATCATTGTCCATTAAAAAAAGTTTGATCAGATATGTCTGGGTTCAGGGTTTTAGGGATTTATTTCTACTGACCGATTTGCTGTCAAATGCGTTAAAAGAAATCGACCTGAAACCAGAGGCGCCATTCAACAGGGATGTCTAACCTCTCGACGCTCCTTTGTGTCGCTCTGTCGTTGTTTTATCATTTCCGTAATATTCGTTTGAAAAAAGTTCATCATACTTTTTGGAAAGAGTGCACCCCCCAGCTTCAAGATGATCCATACAAGTGGGGGACAGAAACCTGCAAAAGAGGATAGCGACTGAGTTGCGTTTTAACGATACTGGGCTTAAACACTATTTATGACGACGAGACAACTTAATGGGAGGAAAGCCCGAAGTGACACTTCAGTGGAAATAACTCAAAACTCTGTGAGAAATATGTGCTAAGAGTCGAGCCCATTGGACTATTCCCTCTATATCGAAAGCATGTGCGTATGGATCATTATCAAACAGTGAGCATATGCCGTATGACCTCTTTAAAATCTTCCAAAGTTGTGAAACGTATATTCCAAGGGCTTGACCTGCTGGATTACTAATCGACATAAAAGGAAAGTTGACTATTGTAAGGTTGTATCGTGGAGAGAGAATAGACTGTTTGACCGTTATTGGGTGGTATCAGATCATCGTTAATCTTAAGGCTTAGTTTGGCCATGCATCAGGACACCGATCAGTGAGGAGGGCAGCACAACTAGTGCCCACGAGTATCTTCACGAGTCTGGCATAAATGAACTCTGGCGTTTACATTATTTCACATGCTATTTGCTTTCATTTTTGACAATTTTTTGTCCTCGCCCCGAGTTCCCAAAACAAACTTAAGGTTTTACTCAAAACTGAGCTTGAAATGTTTACTCAGCTGACAACTTGACTTGAACCTTAAAGATGTATGTCTGTGGTCACCAGGTGGAGTGATCAAGGAATGAAGTGTTTCCTTGTGTGAGATAGAGTAGACAAATTATATATTTTAAAGATTGAAATTGAACTAACTTCTTTTTAAGGATTACAAAAATATCAAATACATCCTTTGAGTGATTTTAGAATCTACATGGTCACCAAGTTCTTATATCAAACATGAATCCCATCCTTACCCTCGTGATAAGCACATATAATTATAAATGCATATTCTGAACAAATCACTGTGGTCATAGAATAATAAATAAACATCACCTTCAATACAAAAAAACTGTGTCGTATTACATTTATGTATAGATTTCACTGTCAACTATGACAATTCAAGAACCGTATCGCGTAAATTCAGAGTATGAATATGGTTTTACACCACTTTAATTGTCTAGGTATCTTAGGGCGGGGATACCTGCAATAGACGCCACACAATGTAATCATGTGGGGGAACGAACATGGTTCGGTGTGACGTGATAACGCTTAACACTCCGCACCCCCACCACCCCCAAGTAAAAGCACAGGTTGAAGCCGAGTGTGATCAATCAATATTATTTATGTACATGGAGCTGTGTTTTATATATCCAAACCAACCGATATCCTATTTGCATAAAATCAAAGCTCTTCAGAGAAAACAGATTCTTTCACTGTGGACTTTATAACAAGAAGAGAAGTTTCATCTACAGTTACATGTCCATCTTCAGAGGTTCAGATCAATTTGATAAATTGAAACCAAATGCCATCTGATAGCCTATGCCCTTCCACTGATATACCCAGATAGACTAGAAATAAAGGAGGCCTGTAATACCGCCTCATCTCATTTCTAAATTTGACGCATCACTGACAAAAATGATGTCTGATGCAATTCCCTATTTTGACTTGTACCCTATGTTCCCGTGGGTTTTAGGTGAAAAATTGACTTGCCTTTGCATGTGTTTGTTACGAGTGCCACCGGTGCGGAAGAACACACTCACCTTTTCGCGAATACCTGGTATCACTATTTGATAGTGATTCATTAACACATGCTCATAATATACAATCGACTCTTCTCGTGGCAGAGATTTGTTATGAATATGGAAATGGTTGTGTCGCTTCTATTAAGAAGTATGCAACGTACGTGCCAGCAGTGGTAGTAGTCTTCTTGGCTTTGAATTTGTAAACATCAGCTTAGCATGAGCGACAAATGGGTTGTTGAAATCGTTCTGAGAATCTACTTTTATACCAAAGGCAGTTCGTGAAATCACATCCATAGTGTAAGCTCCAAAGTATCTGAAAAATAATGATTATACATTAATCATTTGCAATGGGTTTCAATTGTAAAGCAATATTCAACAACTATGATAATAATAATAATACTTAAAATAATAATAATTATAATAATAAGAACAGTTTACTTGGGGGAGGAATTATTGACCATCTCGTGGAAGGTCAGGCCTATACGTACCTAGGAATGCAGATTAGGGACAAACTCCAGAATGCCAATATCAAGGAAAAACTTCGGGCAGAGTACAAATGTAGACTTAAGAAAATCCGGAGTTTAGAGCTGAACGCTCGCAATAAAGTTAAAGCCACAAATACTTATGCTGTACCCGTTCTTTTGGTGTTGTTGATTGGACGAAACAAAACATTCAGGGTATTGACGACCTCACACGAAGAATCATGTCAGACAATAGAGCCCACCACCCTCGCTCTTACCTCAATCGCTTATATTTACCAGTCATTATGGGAGGGCGTGGTTTAATTAACGTTGGGCCTCTTCATGATAGAATTGTTTTGTGCACTTTTGCACACATTTATTTGCCTGATGATCCTCTTGTGAAACATGTCAAGACTCATGATGAAAACAAGGCACTCCACAGTTTTCTAAAACGAGCCAAGGATGTGGGACATAATCTCAATGTCAGTGTTGATTATGTTGATGGTTCTGTACTGCTGGACGGTACAGAAATGAGTGTCAACCAAGCAAAGTGTCATATCAAGTCGGTCCAGACTCAGTTTTTCAAGGAGAGGCTTTCTGAACGACCACTGTATCGAGTTTATGTGCAGTGTGTTGAGAAGAGTCCTTGGATAAAGTCGGCTGGCCTGAAAAGTGAAACTGAAGGCTTTCTGTTTGCTGCTCAGGACCAGTCACTTCCCACTCGATGTGTGATTTTGCATCAAAATGTAAATATGAAATGTAGATTAATAAATGCATTTAATGAGACTGTCCAACACACTGCCAGTGGATACCCAGCTTTGGCACAAACACAGTGTCTCAAACGACATGATGGTGTAACTCAATCATTTTATTACCGTCTTCGCAATACTTGTGGTTTCGGCCTTTTGAGGTCCATCCATGGTACGACCCAGAATATGTAGAGGGCGTCATGGAAACTGATGAATACAGACGTGTCCAGGCCAACAAACCTCATCTTGTCCTTTTTGATAAATCAAATGAAATAATTTATATCATTGAATTTTCCTTCCCCTTTGACACCAATGTGATTGGCGAGATTGAGGAAAAACATGACAAATATGTGGACCTCGCATTCGAAATGTCACGCTTGTATCCCAAGTACCAAGTTGTCCGACTCCCCATTGTTCTCGGTGCCTTAGGTTTGGTAACTCCCAATCTGTTGACTGGCATTGGGAAAGTACCCGGGTTTGCTACCAGGAATATAGGCCTTGTGACAATCTGGGTAATGCAGAAGGCTGCAGTGCTGGGGAGTTCACATTCTCCGAAAAGTTCTTGGTGGATTCGCTGTCTGGGCTACGAGAAGAATGTAGAATCTCCCAGGAGCCAAGCTGCCGGACACGGTCACCCATCCATGGACAAACTTTGCTTAACTTTACCTGATTTGTGACCTTGCCCTGTGCACAGGGCCACGCGCCGCCACGATGAGACACGTTTGTTGCAGTTTCGTCGAGACAATATTGACAACTCAAGCGCAATGTAATCAACACGAAATCAACCAAGTCGCCGAGGCTCACAACCCGATCTGTTCCTGATGTCCCCAGCGGTGATATTGCTGTTAAAGTGGTAGACGCGGAGTAAAACCTACTCACTCACTCACAACCCGATCTGTTCCTGAAGTCCCCCGCGGTGATATTGCTGTTATAGTGGTAGACGCGGAGTAAAACCTACTCACTCACTCACAACCCGATCTGTTCCTGAAGTCCCCCGCGGTGATATCGCTGTTATAGTGGTAGACGCGGAGTAAAATCTACTCACTCACTCACAACCCGATCTGTTCCTGAAGTCCCCCGCGGTGATATCGCTGTTATAGTGGTAGACGCGGAGTAAAATCTACTCACTCACTCACAACCCGATCTGTTCCTGAAGTCCCCCGCGGTGATATCGCTGTTATAGTGGTAGACGCGGAGTAAAATCTACTCACTCACTCACAACCCGATGGCTTCTTGGGAGTCTTTTTTTAACCTTGAATGCTCGGGTGAAGAGGATCATCCATCAACAAAGGGTCCTCTAGGGCATGCGACATTTGAAGATGAAGATGGAATGTGGAACTGGTTTGCAAGTGTGTTCACGTTTAGATGCAAATGTAGATACAATGCAATCTCGCAGCATTTACGTATTTCCAAGAGAAAAATTGAAAAATACCCAGTACTAAAGCTTACACAAGTAAACGACCCGTGAAGATCCGGGGTAGAATAGATCTTCAGCAACCCACGCTTGCTGTAAGAAGCGACTATGCTTGTCGTAGGAGGCGACAAACGGGATCGGGTGGTCAGGCTCGCTGACTTAGTTGGTGCATGTCATTGATCCCTATTGCGTGGAATCATGCACATGTTGTCAATCACTGGATTGTCTGGTCCAGACTCGATTATTTACAGACCGCCGTCATATAGCTGGAGTACTGCTGAGTGCAGCGTTAAACAACAAACAAAGAAAAATAATAAAACAAGTGTACTTTTCTTGTATATTATGTAGTACCTGAGGAATACAAAAAATCCATTTCAACCTTATGATCGAATTAAATGTTCAGTTTGACATGTCAACACAATACTTACTCTTTCATAATAACCCCTTCCTTTTTCCCGACGACTTTAGAGAAGTTAGCTGACAGAGTCGTTGCGCAGTCGTTGATGGCAGCACACATCTAGGAAAAGACGCGATAACACATATACCTACAAACTGGTCTTAAACTTGCAAAATTATAACATGCAGAGCACTCAGAAAATGGTACCGAACGTCAGAAAACTAACATTTATTTTGTTTGTTTCTTTGTTGTTTAAGGCAGCACTCAGTAATATTCTAGCCATATGACGGCAGTCTATAAATAATCGAGTCTGGACCAGACATTCCTGTGATCGACATTATGTGCATCACCTGATCCCGTTAGTCGCATGGTCGCCTCTTACGGCAAGCAATGGGTTGCTGAAGACCAATTCTAACCCGGAATCTTCACGGGGCTGCAGAACTAACAACATGCATGAAAACGGTATTTATCTGAGAAGGAGGGTGACGACCTGTACATGATCTGGGCTGGACCGGACAAACCAGTGATTCATACGCTGATACGTAATCAAGCAAACCACCGTGCCAGGCAACCCGATGCATGACGTATCCTAGTAACAAGCAAAGGTTGCTTGGGACCAGTTGTAGTCCCGAATCTCTGCGTGGGGTATGTGCCCTACAAAGACAACGAGAGTGACCCACCTTTCTCAGTTTGCCGCCGCTGAAGCTTGGGGTGATTATACCTCTCACTCTCTTCCAGTGGGAATCTTCCAAGAAGAACACACCCAAATTGAATGGGAAGGGCACGAGTGTGAATTTCTAGAAATAGATGTTACACTGGACATATAACACTGATTTGTAATATTCTTCTTTGTTTTGAATGTTGTGTTTAACATCATTTCAGTTACGTATTACGTGCCACCAGAGGATGATATATTCTCCCACCTATATCCTTTTACTACAAGTACGTTATTGCCTTTGAAACAATATCCTGGATAAGCTACTTGAACGTATTATTTACCATCCGGTTCCTGAAAGTGTTGAAGCTCTTGACAAACACCTCCTTCAGAATGTCCAGATCAGATATAACTAAAGCTGGCTTTCTTCCCAAAAATATCCTTTGGACAGGAAACAACAAAAACACGATAAAACATTGAATAAGAAAACAAATTTTGTCACAACAATCGGGTACTGATGTTCTGCCTTTCAACAAATAATGGAAAAGCTTCAGCTTCGGTGAATATAAGGTTGTGCTGCAGTTGGCAGTATTTCCTGACGTTCCGTAATTATTCGTGTCTGGACCTGGTAAACCATTTACAAGAAACGACACCGGAGTACGATATCACACAATCGACCAAGTCACGCAGCCAGACCACCCAATACATTTTAGTCGACTCTTGCGACATGCACAGGTTACTGGGGACCAACTGTCCCCCGGAATCCCGACTGGGTTCTGACAATGGAAATAGACAGGTTTGTGATCATTCTCAGGAACAGTTAACTGCTAACAGAAGATGAGACCAAGACGTCTAAACTACAGATATACTATCTTGTAAAGGTTGGTTCGAGTCCCCGATTCGCCCTGATTATGGTTAATGGTTTGTCAGCACGATACCCTTTTCTTAGGCCTGCATTACTTCGGGACTTTCTCCCACACGCAGCTATCGAATCATGATCTACCTGAAATACATCCAAAATAGCATTTAACCCAACTGAGTCGCCGTCAATTATGTATTCTTCTTCAAAAATTCTTTGATGATCGTTGTTTTCTTCTAAAAAACTAGACTAATAGCTGCGGTCACTACTTCCGATTGCCACGCATACGATTATCGCGGGAAGGATGCTAATTTTAATTTCCAGAGCGTCCGGAAGACGCGCTAAGTCAAAGCATTTAATGAACGAGATGCACTTACCCATATATATTTCCATATTGTCGGTTCCATTCTTTGAATTTGTGGAAGAAACTCTGTTAAAATAGAAAGATAAAATATATTTTTGCCTTGTCCCACCTTTCATACAAATAGTTCCACGGAACTGTAGCTTAGCTGGATATGAAATCAACAGTTCAGATGTCAACAAGGAGCGTCACCCAACGCATGTATATTTTCTACATAATAATGAGGATAAATAAATAACAAAGAAACAAGTAACAATATTTCCACAGTGTTACTCAACTGCAAGAAGACATGTTTTACCATCAACAATGTTAAAGACCTTATTTATTTTGCAGATTTAATAACACTTAAACTATGGAGACACAGCCATTATCTTGCACACAAAGATTCAACTTTCTAACATGACCTTCACAAACATCACAGTAAATCGCCACTGAGAATATGATTTTCCCCACGTGAACCAGAACGTTCAGCACTTGCGTGTTGTTATATTTTACAGCATGAAGGGACATGGATTGAAAGTTGATTCTGTTATTTTATATAATGTCTGATCGTCATTTCCTGAAACGATTGATAAAACATCAGTGTGGTCATTCAATTTACATATATGTCTCATATATATCTTTTTGCAGAATTGCTTATCGTCATCATAAATATGATTCAATGTGATAAAGATTTTCCACGCTGATGTTATGCAAATAATCAAATGATGATAATAAAACCTACAAACGATGTGCTGTTTCCAAGAAGGGGGTACGGTGTTGGTCCACGGATGCCCCGATTCTTGAAGTAATTGAAGTTCCAGGTTCCATGTCTGTAAACGTAACACATGTCATCGTACTGCACGATACTCAGCTGTCAAAGGCATTAAAGTTCTTGGGTACATGGGTGACAAAAAGATTTTTAAAAAGTTAAGATTGTATTCAAACATCGAATTAAGGTTTCAAGGACTACTCTCAATATTTGTGGTTTCGAATCAAGACACAATGATGAAACAGATGCTTCCTATATATTTGTATGGAAGCGTATAATTGCCGCATTCTAAAACAATAACATGATGTACACAGATGTTACTTACATCTACATAGGTAAAAGTATCATCTACGTAGGTGAAAAGTATCATCTATGTAAATGATATATTTTCGTAGAATGTTGCTCTTATACGCTTCCATACTTTGTGACTTGAAAACCAAATAACAAGAGGCCAAAATCGTCTTCATAGGCACTAGACCGACTCTGTGATACAGGGAATAGAGTGGCTTCACGGAGGACAGAAGGCAGCCGGTTCAGGGAATAGAGTGGCTTCACGGAGGACAGAAGGTAGGTGGTTCAGGGAATAGAGTGGCTTCACGGAGGACAGAAGGCAGCCGGTTCAGGGAATAGAGTGGCTTCACGGAGGACAGAAGGCAGGTGGTTCAGGGAATAGAGTGGCTTCACGGAGGACAGAAGGGAGGTGGTTCAGGGAATAGAGTGGCTTCACGGAGGACAGAAGGTAGGTGGTTCAGGGAATAGAGTGGCTTCACGGAGGACAGAAGGGAGGTGGTTCAGGGAATTGAGTGGCTTCACGGAGGACAGAAGGGAGGTGGTTTAGTGAATAGAGTGGCTTCACGGAGGACAGAAGGGAGGTGGTTCAGGGAATAGAGTGGCTTCACGGAGGACAGAAGGGAGGTGGTTCAGGGAATAATGTGGCTTCACGGAGGACAGAAGGCAGGTGGTTCAGGGAATAGAGTGGCTTCACGGAGGACAGAAGGGAGGTGGTTCAGGGAATAGAGAGGCTTTACGGAGGACAGAAGGCAGCCGGTTCAGGGAATAGAGTGGCTTCACGGAGGACAGAAGGCAGGTGGTTCAGGGAATAGAGCGGCTTCACGGAGGACAGAAGGCAGCCGGTTCAGGGAATAGAGTGGCTTCACGGAGGACAGAAGGCAGGTGGTTCAGGGAATAGAGTGGCTTCACGGAGGACAGAAGGAAGGTGGTTCAGGGAATAGAGCGCCTCCAAGGAGGACAGAGGGCAGATGGTTCAGGGAATAGAGTGGCTTCACGGAGGACAGAAGGCAGGTGGTTCAGGGAATAGAGTGGCTTCACGGAGGACAGAAGGGAGGTGGTTCAGGGAATAGAGTGCCTCCACGGAGGACAGAAGGCAGGTGGTTCAGGGAATAGAGTGGCTTCACGGAGGACAGAAGGCAGGTGGTTGAGGGAATAGAGTGGCTTCACGGAGGACAGAAGGGAGGTGGTTCAGGGAATAGAGTGCCTCCACGGAGGACAGAAGGCAGGTGGTTCAGGGAATAGAGTGGCTTCACGGAGGACAGAAGGCAGGTGGTTCAGGGAATAGAGTGCCTCCACGGAGGACAGAAGGCAGGTGGTTCAGGGAATAGAGTGGCTTCACGGAGGACAGAAGGGAGGTGGTTCAGGGAATAGAGTGCCTCCACGGAGGACAGAAGGCAGGTGGTTCAGGGAATAGAGTGGCTTCACGGAGGACAGAAGGGAGGTGGTTCAGGGAATAGAGAGGCTTCACGGAGGACAGAAGGCAGGTGGTTCAGGGAATAGAGTGGCTTCACGGAGGACAGAAGGCAGGTGGTTCAGGGAATAGAGTGCCTCCACGGAGGACAGAAGGCAGGTGGTTCAGGGAATAGAGTGGCTTCACGGAGGACAGAAGGCAGGTGGTTCAGGGAATAGAGTGCCTCCACGGAGGACAGAATGGAGGTGGTTCAGGGAATAGAGTGGCTTCACGGAGGACAGAAGGCAGCCGGTTCAGGGAATAGAGAGGCTTCACGGAGGACAGAAGGTAGGTGGTTCAGGGAATAGAGTGCCTCCACGGAGGACAGAAGGGAGGTGGTTCAGGGAATAGAGTGGCTTCACGGAGGACAGAAGGCAGGTGGTTCAGAGAATAGAGTGGCTTCACGGATGACAGAAGGCAGGTGGTTCGGGGAATAGAGAGGCTTCACGGAGGACAGAAGGGAGGTGGTTCAGGGAATTGAGTGGCTTCACGGAGGACAGAAGGCAGCCGGTTCAGGGAATAGAGAGGCTTCACGGAGGACAGAAGGGAGGTGGATCGATACCAAAAGACTCCGTGGGGATTTCTGGTTATAAAAGGTCCCATGCAACCTTCGCTAATAGCAAGAGGGGATCCAATGGATCTGGTTGTGAGGCTCGATAACTTGGTTTATAGCGTGGCATCGTACCCCGACGATGTGGACTTGTTCACAATATGAATCACTCGACTGTCTTGCTCAGACTCGATCATTTGCAGGTGCGAGGCAAGGGAGTTAACTGACTGTAAGAGGTGGCGCCCAGCCATGGCGTTCTGATCGATAATCAAGATAATTATTGTAATAAAAGGGGTCTTACATCGCGAAGGGCATCAGATCACTTGATTAGACATGAAAAGATGTTGAAAATATCTGTCGACGCGAAGTTAAGGGGCTAAGTTAACAAAGTACAAACAGCCATATACAAACGTGCATGCATGTCACTATGTAAGTGCCAAATATTAAACGCAACGTTAAACCCAATTTCACCTCACCTCTCCGCAATGAGAGATGAACAAAGAAGGGCGTGGAAACATAATGCAGTGTTACACCGTGATATGTGTGTTCAGATATAAACAATGCATGCTGGGGTCCAGGGCGAAACATGCAGGTCGCCAGTATCCCTGTGCTTGTCGTACAAGTGGACGACGGAGAGGTGGACGACGGAGAGGTGGACGACGGAGAGGTGGGTAGTCAGGCGCTGTGACTTGGCTGATTGTGTCGCCATGCCCTGATGGCGTGGATCTTTCGTCATGGTTTCAGTCACTGGCGTGCAAGGTCCAGACTCGGTCCAGACATGCTTCGGTAGGTTAACTGGAAAGTTGCACAGTCGTAAAACAACATCGGTCACTCACTTCATTCCGATATACTTGTTGCCATATATTTACAAGGGTGGCACTTGATAGTTATGAGTTGATGCGAAAATGACCCAGGTAACTAAGTATTAGAGCACTTTATGACTGACAAAGTAGATATATTTTAAGGTTACAACTTCTTTCATATACTATGTAGCGTTCCGGGTGCAGATCCTTATACTCTTGTCAAGCAAGTCTTACTATATCTCTCTGCGTTTATTTAAGGATATTTACGATAACATACGAGTGACCCTCGGTTTGTGAATGTATAAATCACCGAAAATAACTGGGGCGATGCCAGCATTTTTCACAAGACGACCCCCCCCCCCCGTCTTCAGCAACCCGTGCTTGGCGCAGGAGGCGACAAACGGGATAGGGGGGTCAGGCTCGCTGACTTTGTTGATGCATGTCATTGTGTTCCGATTGCGTAGATCGATGCTCATGATATCAATCACTGGACTGTACTCGATTATTTACTGACACCGAGATATGGTTGGTATATGCTGTGTTTAACAACAAGACACAAACACGAGCCGACAGGTACCAGAACAGAACAATAGCGAGACTCACATAGTTTGTATTCAGTAGGGATCGACTGTTGCACATCCATAAATCAAACAGTGCGACCCGTGAAGATCCGGGGTAGAATAGGTCTTCAGCAACCCATGCTTGCCGTAAAAGGCGACTATGCTTGTCGAAAGAGGCGACTAACGGGATCGGGTGGTCAGGCTCGCTGACTTTTTTATGCATGCCATCGTAACCCAATTACGTAGATCGATGCTCATGATGTCAGTCACTGGATTGTCTGGTCCAGACTCGATTATTCACAGACCGCTGTCATATAGGTGGGATATTGCTGAGTGCGGAGTTAAACAACAAACAAACAAATAAACAAAATCGGTTCGAGTCCCGCTGGTGGTTCGTGTTTTCCGGCTAAATATGAAATAACTTAAGTGTCACATTTATAATCGATTCCAAGTGTACATAGGCAGGAATTACCAACAAAGGCGACCTACAGGGAACACTTGTCACTATCATGGACACAGGGAAACTTAAAACATTGTATTCAGTAATTGCACTTTGTTTTCGTTGTCTACAGTGCCATCTACTCTGGTAAAAGCATGACAGTGTCGTGTACCCTGGACTATAATCTTCGTGGTTGTCAACACGGGTTTCAAGGATTGAAATTGTAGGTCATATGGAGCTCACCGGGGCGCCCCATGTTGTGTTTCTAGACCCGTCAGCACCACAGCGTGCTCCTGCATTTCATCAAGGTGGTCAAAGTCTCTTTCGTCGTTATCCCGCATCAAACTGGTAGGCCGTGATATCCTCTGCACGTCCAAATTAACCGGCTTCAAACGTAATTTCAGACCCTATTGCGTTAGGGGCTGATCATGTGATTGAAGTTTTGAAATATTCAACATTATCTATCAGTAACACCTTAAATTATACTGGAAGACAAATGTCGAGAGGCCCTGACAGTATGGTATGAAAGAGCAGACACTTGGCAGCAATCTTGATACAACAAAAGGAGTCAACAGAAAACGCACATATATACTTCACCTGGTCGACGTTTTCCCACATGCTACAAATACATGTTAAGAATCTTTGTGATTGCCTTCCAGACACGAGCATACAACTCTACGCGGATGTACAAAGTGTCCACGTCGGTTTTTATGTTTATACCTCCAGTAACGTGAACACTAGTCAATTCATTTCCTAACTATAATGTGTTGAGAACTCGAGTCGCGAACATGGGGTCGTTACTGACGCGACAATAACACGACTGAGCAACACGGAGCATACATGACGACCTCACCGTGCAGCCTGTCAGATTGACCACGAGATAAGTGGTCCACCTAAAGCGTAATACATGTAAACCAGCTGTCTACTTACATATAGAGCAGCACAGCCGCCGCCACTGCCAGAAGCAGATACAGCGGGACGTCCACTAGCCCCAAGATCTCCATGTTGATGTGACGAGCAATATCCTGCGAGCTTTTTCTTATTTCCTCAAACTACCCGAACACACCCCGTCCTGGGCACAGCAGGGCAGTTCTATATATATACACTACCCCTTCAATGTGTGATCTACTTTGAATGTAAGCGAGGCTGACGACTTAGTCATAGGGTCATGCAAAGGTCTGAAACTGTGCTGTTTACTCAGTTAACAGTGTACTCAGTTTCTGACCCGTAGTGCTGCATGAGAGGACAGACTCAAGCGTAGATCAGTGAGTCGCAATGAGTTGGACTGAAGCCACATGCAGTAATCCGATACATTATATATTTGTACTAACTACTTCAAGGAATTCCGTTTTATCTGTAACTATTTTAGTAGTTTCCCGAACACACACGGTTGTATGCTGGCGTCTTAAAAAAAGTATGTTTGTCGTGAATTAAAGTACAGGTGTAACGTAAATACAGTAAACTACGGTTATAACGAACTCAAAGGGACTACTAATTTTAGTTCGTTATAACCGTAGTTCGTTATAAGCACATATACAGCATGATTACAGCAAGTAGTCTGGACCAAAAAGTTAGTTCGTTATATCCGTCAGTTCGTTATAAGCGTGTTCGTTATAACCGTAGTTTACTGTACGTATACCGATGTTCATGTTAAAAGTAATGAGATACGACATTTGACGAGAATCCAAGTACCAGTAATTTGGAGTATACAAACAATACGATATGGAGTGATCTGACACTCCATAAGGTGCATGTAAAAGCAGGACAAAGTCGTTCTCTGGGTCCATGTATTTTATTAATACTGACGGTGGTAGACCTGAATAATAAAACACAAACTTGTAACATACTTGGTAACATCATATATGGGCGTTCACAAGTGATACTTCTCTATCTTATCTCCATATCATATATGTCTGACATTATCAGTTACCGCACATTAATATTCGTCAGTGTAATGCATACAGTAAAATTCTTTTCGATGTACACAGTGCTTACAAGTACAATATAAACATTTACATGGAAGAAAGTATCTTTTACATACAAGTCAAATGTATTAATAGCACTCACAATAGCTTCCATTCAAATAACACATCCAGTGGGTACATGTATGAACACATTCTATGTAACAGTTTATGCACTTAATACTCTAACAAATTGTTTGATAGGCATTACTTAGAAGTTGACGGATGACAAAATGGACACAATTATGGATAACAGCTTCTTAAATACTGTAAAGGCGACGTTTCGGTACAGATCCTTATACCGTTGTCAAGCTTGACACCAGAAATAGGTTTCACACATTGTACCCATGTGGGGGATCTAACCTTGTCTTCGGCGTGACGAGGAAACGCTTTAACCACTATTCTACCCCACGGCTCTCATCACTGTGACAACTGTGTTATCACAGTTGATATGTGTACTTGGGTAAATTACACCTATGGAGAGACATCCTAATTAGTGTGGACGCACAGTTTACGTTGATAACAATATGAAGTGCATTATTATGATTATCTATAACATATGTCATTCTGTCATATCTGTCTGTCTGACTTACTGTCTGTGTATATAAGTGGTAGATAATAACATCACTCACATCAGGATACACAATACAGTTTAATAGATGGGGAATTGTTACTCAACTATGAATACTCCTGCTTGAGCGAATAGCCCATATAATCAGATCTCGAGTCTCTCCAGGCGGGAAGTTAAACTCCATTTTACAAGCACGTAAACTTTGAATTTGATTGAAAAGAATAATAAGAAATATGAGTTGTGTTAAATAATATTTACAACGCATTCCCTTTCTATTGTCCAAGGAATGGGGTTACGGTTCAATGTCGTATATGTGACTCAAGGCATAAATCTAATAACTCCCAAAGGGACAATTAAGTTTCGCAAAAAATCGCAAATAATCCGTGGACTTTCCGTGGGGTTTCTTGCGAAATAAAGTAAAAGTAAAAGATTTCTTCTGTTGTACTACACCACCGTATACGTTGTCAATGCAAGAGAATATCCAGCCTAGATTTTCTGCGCAAACAGATTCCACTTGGGATAAAGGGCAAATACCTGTGGACATGATGTGAATGGGCCGCTGAAAATCAGTGATAACACAGGTGTTTGCGAAAAGGGTAAGCACTTCCTGTCCTACCGGTAGCACCCGCCATTCAAACAATTTGCATAACATATAAGTATTTATTGCTTGACGCAGCACAGTACTGCCGTGGGACGTGACCCTGTACACAAACCAGACAATCAAGTGACTGATGAACCAAAACATTCATGATCAGTGACACAAGAGTTACTGATTTTGTTGAAACTAATATAAGTTGTTAATTTTGAATCACGCCTGTTGTGTACAAGTATAGAGATTTTGCTGCTTATAAGTAAAGAAAAACGTAAAGAAATATATTCGTTTTGCAAAATTGGGGCGCAGTTTTAAATAATTTAACATCCTGCATAAAAACCAAACACATGCGTGTATACAAACTAAACGCGATAACATTCTGTATCTACGAGTATATCTAACACATTTATCTAACAAAAAATGTTGAAAAAGTCGAGGTATAAGAGGCAAAATATCGGTGAGAATTATAGGAATGGATCACTGGAGATCAACAGTTGGTTTTCGCGTAACCCCAAACCACGGACGAAGACGGGTTTTGCCGGGTCGACTTGGCTAGGGGCAGACGGGAGCGCCTGCTCGACTTGGCTAGGGGCAGACGGGAGCGCCGGTGCCGGTCGGGCCGCAGAGAGGGGCCTCGTCGACTTGGCTTGTGTCAGACCATACTGGAGAACTCCTGTCGGACAAAGACGGGCCTAGATGGTTCGACTTGGGTCAGGCAAAATCTGACAGCGCGTGGGCATTATCAGGCGCAAAGATGACTGTTTGGCTTAAATTGTTCAATATAATATTTCATACTGGTACGACACCAGAAGAAAGGTTAGATGGGATGTAATTAAGCCAGTTCATAAGAGGGGTAAACCTTAGTTACCACACAACTACAAACTACTACCATGAACACTTGTAGGACGCTTGGTTAACGTTTTTACTTCTCTTGTTGACAATATAATCACTACTTTCATTGAAGTAAATGGATATTATATTATCTGATGTCTGAACTGTTTTCAGAAAGAACTACTCTGCAACTCTGAGAGTTCTGGCACCAGCCTACAGGATGACTACTACTAGTCTACTACCACATCAAATCAGTCGTTCAGAGAGCAGCTGTCTTGGAGAAAGTTTGAATGTATATTGCGAGATCTGGCAGTTGTGATTGGATGACCTTTTGTGAGATTTGTTGATGTTTCAAATGTACATCTATTGAGTAGTTAAAAGTTTTTCCAATATTTAGTGTTGTCGATGACTCATCCTGATTGTGACCATGACCATGCACGGATGTTTTCGAGGAGGTGACATTTGGCCGGGACTGGGGTTGGTGTGTTTAACCTCCTGTACTCGTAAAAGGAACTTTGTGGGTTTTTTTGTAGCTTTAGGGCCAGACTGTGCACATATGGATATGTAATGGCTGTTAAATGCCTGCTAGTTATTTATGAATACGTATATGTTGAATAGAAACAGACCAACAGGAAACTCTACCTGGAGAAAAGGGATATGTACATTGTGTGACTCCAAAGTAATTGGTGACGAGTTCCACTAGTTTGTCAGCTGTAATTCATTTTAAACCTTACGCACTGGATGTGTTAATGAATACTACACAAACTGTCAACCCATTTAAACATTCTTCCGGTGCGTTTCCAGTATAATATCTTATATTGAACAATGTAACCCAGAGAGTCACATTTGTGCCTGATAATGCCGACACGCCGTTCAATTGTAACTCACTCACTCACTTTTTGCCTGCCCCAGGCCGAGCCGGCGGGGCCCTTTCTTGGATCCGCTACCCGTTTTGCCTGCCCCAGGCCGAGCCGGCGGGGCCCTTTCTTGGATCCGCTACCCGTTTTGCCTGCCCCAGGCCGAGCCGGCGGGGCCCCTTTCTTGGGTCCGCTACCCGTTTTGCCTGCCCCAGGCCGAGCCGGCGGGGCCCTTTCTTGGATCCGCTACCCGTTTTGCCTGCCCCAGGCCGAGCCGGCGGGGCCCTTTCTTGGGTCCGCTACCCGTTTTGGGGTTATACGAAAACCAAATGTTTTCCCCATGGAGTTTTGTTTTCTTTTTCTTCTTCTTTTATTACTCGGTGCTACATGAATTGTACAACATAAAATACAATGATAGATGTACAGCAAGATGTCTTTTATAGGGTCGAATATGTCACAGTATAGCATTCCAATGTCTGAGGAACTTTGATCATTTTTTGCTTTACTTTACCACCTGTGAACACATGCAGGACGTACGCATGTCCGAGGCATCCATCAACTGTGCCGCTCTCCCAACCCACTTACTGATCTGTTTATGTTTACGGAATCGAAAATCAAAAACACGGGGAGTTGGCCAAGAAGTTTTACGTAAACTTCTCGTACATCGATGTATATCAATGAACTATTGACTTGCCTTTGTGTGTGGCGAGTGCCACTGATTTTCGCGAACACACCTGGTATCATTATTATTTATTAGTGATTCATAAACACATGGTACAATCGACTCTGCTTTTAGAATATGGATAATTTGAATTATTCAATCTAATAAAACGCACATCCTTGTTTCAGCTACACTGGAATACAAAACACTTCCTTTCATCCCAAATCCATCAACAGTATGTACACGCTATTACAGTAAACAATACGAGGAAGCAGATATGACAAACAGCTGTACACATTTTTGGCTTTTAGGGTGTCATTGGTACTTTTTTCAAGAGAGACTTTTCAGTCACGACCGACGACACTTACTTTCATTTTATATCACATCACAACTAACCCAATTTTAACTTAAAGGTTTTTATTCACGAAGCATAATGAAGCATGCTAATTGTACAATTATGTGTAAATAATTAATGCAGACAATAGTATAAAAGCATGGCTGATCCAAATCATTGTCCTTTTTTGCATTTAGGAGATAAACCTACTGTGCTGATGTAGTCCCAGTGCAAAGTAGATACCTCTTTCTAATTTGCAACCAAGCACTGAAGTATGTTTATCTCCATTCTACCATGACGGCAAGAGCGCTTTGAAAACGGTGATCTCTTGCATTGAAAAACTACACAGGAAACAAAGGTCTGCTGTCTTAAAGCATTCTGAAAAGGGATCACAGGTAGTTACATATGTAACAAATATTACTCAAGTTCAACATTAAAAGACCCATAGTCTTGTGTAGTTCAAAATAAGTGTTCAAAACACATAGCTTTTTCAAATGATGTTGACAAATAATCTCCCGAATATAGTCCGAAGATAGATGTTTTATTTTCATCGCAATCTGCTATGCACTGTTTGGACTCTCAAAGTCATTTCTTGGCAATCGAATATGGAAGTTCCCATTGTTTTGGTGACAGGTTGTAGAAATACTTTATAATATGCTGAACGATAATATTTCTCCCAAAAACTTTATGAATTAACATTCTACTATATATTTTACATATGTAAGTCTTATTAGTTAGTTAGCAATTATCCCCAGTAAATAACAAAAAAATACATGCCTCTCCAACTTGAATGTTCCACAACTTGACCTACATCACGGTTACTCACACCTCACAACTGTCAATGGCTGCCAATGTTGTTTATATTTTCCGTGCTTCAGGCAAGTTACAAGAAGCAGAATGACAACCCCGATCTATGATGTGGTTCATCATTAACCCGTAGATTGATGAATGAGCCTGCTGGTACAATGTGATTACCAATTGAAGGAGTATGACTGAACAGCCGCTTTTGGGGCTGCAGACAAGCCGGCATTTTACGATACGTGGAATTGCATGTTTGTGACCTATCGGTTTCAAGATTTCACGGTAATTTGACACCAGCATGTGAAATAGTGGTTCGTGTATGTTTCGCTTAATTGTGCATGTTCTGAAATGAATTTCATCATGTTTGACAAGGTGATGATCAAGTCCATGTGCTGTGACTTGATGACAGTGATGTCGGGACATTTGTCATTTGTTTACAAGTCAGTTTTCGTGGCTTTCGAAAAGAGGAGTGTCTTCTGAAGGCCTTTCAAACTCCCTCATGCCAGTTCCTAACGTTGGCGGTTGATGGTGATGACAATAAATATCGATCACAAAAAGGTTTGTAAACATGTTGTCATCAATTAAAAAAATCATAACGTTATATTTTACTTTCATTATCGTCTGTTTCAATTGGGGAAATTACCTTTTCGCCACCAAACATACCCCTAACAGTTTCATAAGCGTTATTATTTGTATGCAAAAGATATGCCTGGGATAAACTTTTAGTTGCTATATCTGAATCTCAACATCGAGGTCGGGGTCACCGCTACCACCTAGAACGTCAAAATCGTTCGATGCCACACGTATCGTATTTCCTCTATTAAACTGTAGGCCGCCTAGTAATTTCGCGGGAGCCGTTGATTTTATTAGAGACCCAGCGTCTATATGAGAAAATATAAATATACAGTTCGTATCGGTGATCGACAGCCATTTTTGTATGACTCGATATGATTGTAGGTTATCGATGTATTCATACGCACAAAGGACACCTCTTTTTAACCAATCAGAATCAAGCATTCTTCAATGCCATAGTAGAATGTATCTTGAACTCAGGACACATTTACTCTCTAGTAGCACAAAACGATGCATCAATATAAGCACTAGCAGTACAAGAAACATGGATGTCAACACAAAATCATTCTTATACTCAATGAATATTCAGGCTAATCCACAAAAGTGAGTTTACTCGTAAAAGTGTCCGGAACTTAGGCAGGTTATACCCGAATGCACGATCAACAGAGAGTAGTAGTCAGTTGACAGGAATTTGTGTTTGTGACAGGACATATTTCTGCGAACACCTGCTATGATCTCTCTTGGATACTTTCATACCCACATGCTCATGATACAATGGGAATCGTACAATGGACTCTAGTGGTTATTTCAACTCCTGCCTATGTCACGTGACAGGTATTATTACAATTTATGTATATCATTTTGCGAATGAGTTTGCAATGAACTTTCTTTTTCAAGAAATAAAATAGTATGCAAAGATAAGGAAACCAACAAGTCGTAAAACTGAGATTAGAATAGGAGTGAGAGTATTACAACCTTCTATATACACGCATGGTATGTATGTGTTGCCTATATCTAAATGAGTGGACGCAATAGGAAACATAGCTAAATGTGAATAGGTCTCAGTAAAATGGAGCTATTTTATCTGACCTATTGTGAGTGCATGTACAGCTAGGGCATGGGCTGTTTCTCTTTCCAACCATGTTAGAAAGTAAATGTAGTTAAAGTAACCGATACAAAAATAAACAGAAAAAAAGAAAAAGTTCCGGTTACAGCTGGGTATGGAAGCGTCAGTCTGGATTCAAAGAGACCCAAGGCGTTGTTTTGAAAATTCAAGGCAGAAACAGACATCAGTCTGAAATGAAAGTAAAAACTGTGTCATACATATCATATATGTATATATGAACATTAAATGATACAGTGTCGGTAATGTAATGTATCGCCTGACTATTTCCGTGAAAATAGATGCTTTACCTTCTCTCAAGTTAACAACTGCCTTGCTTTCAGATAGATATTTCTTTTGAATAATGAAGGGTTTTTTTTAAGCTGTTTTTTTAATTATGTAGCGTCAGTGTGCCATACCAGAGTGAAGGGGCGTCTCCCGAGGCGCGTGTAAAGACGTCGCATATTGGTGATGATGTCTACCTTCCCGTCGTCCTGAATTCTGCTGGCGATGTTGAGAAGCAGCACTAGAAGCCTTGTCTCGGTAATGGAGCTTAAATTGGTGACAATGATAGGTTGGTTCAAGTTGCATAACTAATGTGTCTAGTATAAACGCAGGTTAATAGTATGGCGTTGTGTTTGCTGTATCTATGCTGACAGGCTTACATCACTGTTTCTATCCCACATGACACTTTTACGGAAAAAATCCTTCTTTGAACCATAGGACATTTTTTCTAAACGCGGTGACCATAGATGTAGTTGCATCTCCTTTTTCAAAGGTTCAGGACAATTTGTCAAAAGCGAAAGCAGACACGAACGTTTAGGCAAAAAGTAGGCGTCCCCATGGGCACCAGGTGTGCTCCCATCCTTGCTGATCTGTGTCGTTATGAACATGAATTGGAATATCTGATGGGATGGGTTCAATTAAAAGACATGGGAATTTCGCCAAGATGTTTAAGTCAAAGAACCGATTCTCTAGAAAAAACTAGAAATAAAAGACACAGTGAAACTGCCTCATCTCTTTTCATATTTACATGAACATCCAGAGTGACAAAAACCTGTCCACAAGACTGTATGATAAGAAGATGACTTCAACTTTCCAATAGTCAATTTTTTCCTTCATGTCGAACACATGGTCACCAGCTATTTGATCGTGACTTGTAGCCATATGCTTATGATATACTTGTACCCTGAATCGTACAATCGACTCATTTTCATAACAAGGAAAAGGGTATTGTGGCTTTTCTGAAACATGAAAAGATGACATACCGTGAAACGATTGTACAAGGATGTCGATGTAGTGCAAGCAAGGTGTCGATCAAAGCCATCCCACTTTGATCTCGAACACTTCCTGTCAAGTGGTGATGCTGAACAGTGATAGTGCGACTGCGCATGCTTGCTGTGAGTCTTGATGTTGTGACAGAGGATTCTGTTGATGGAAGGTATGTCTGCAACAGAAACAGTTCATGAATGCGTATTGTTATCTTTGTGTTCATCTTTGTTTGTTTGGAACGCAAAACAAGAACTACAATCTTCCTTTTGTACCTGATTGTCCTGTGCCCACGTGACCAGACTGCGAGACCTAGTCTTGTAAATTTGATTCCAAACTTCCTCTTTGTCCGGAAGTGACGTCAAGACGTAGAACCCATTTGTGGATACATGTGACTGACAACACAAACATAATACGATAAATCATCTTTGGTTAATTACAATGTTGACATTTCACATTGAATCCATAACTGTAGTCACTGCCTGCACGACATCTGCATTGAATGGAGTAAGCATAACCAATGCGTTCGTTTGTCTAATAATCCCCCCCACCCTATAAAAACATAACCGTCATAAACCAACAGACAGAAGCGAGTGCAGACCCAGAAAAAGAAAAAAAAACATTTTGTTTTACTAGTATTTACTTACAGGCATTGAAACAATGATGTCAATCTCAGTATTTTCTGGAATAGACAATATTTCATATTTACTAATCTTGGTCGCAATTGTGCCTTCAATAATACTCTTGTTATAAATGATCAACAATTATTAGATAAACAGAAATTAGAAGATCTTACAGTGAATAATTAATATTAGTGCGGAACCTTAAACTTGTCTTCGAACACTTTACAAACCATAACAGTTATAAGGGTAACGTTTTAACAGATGTCAACAGAAAGTATCTTCCGTTATTTAGAAAAGATACCCAAAACACTGTGCTTATTTAAAATTGTCCTATGGTCGCGGGTGGGTGTGGGGGTATATGTTTTTTTCAGGAAACACAGGACATCGTTTCCTTGTTATATTATCATCTACTCACGGGCAGGAGTACATTGAAGCACCTGGAACAGACACAATCTGGGCATGAGGAAATATAATTTTCTTTCCTTGCAAATGTTCAAAACGGCTGCATTACATATTTAAGAGAGGTTTCTTTTCAACCCCTGACGATTGAAATGTTTCATGAATACCAACTCTTGTACAGTATTAACAAACAACATACTCACACGCAAAAGAAACGCAAGTGGTTTTAAGCAAATGGTAACAAATACGGAATCATAAATTGATACGAGTTTTAGCATGTAGTGAAGCCTGATGGTGTTATCAATATTTTTGGTTGCATTTTGAAAGCCCCGAGTAAAAACGCACCATAAAAAACGAATTGCCAAAACGCACCATTTCAATGAATATGTGGGTATCATGCACCCATTTCTCGCGAAATCTAAAATGCACGAACTGTCACGAACTGTAGTAAGTATAAAACTGTGGCCGATTCTTGGACCTACCACTCCTTGGTCAAAAAGGCCACGCCTCACTCAAATTCAGAGAAACCAGGCTATCGGACGTTTGGAAGCTGTAGAGTCTGTCTAAGATGTTGCCCGTCATTTCAACGTTAACATAACCACAATTTATCGTCTCCTGCATCGATACAATGCTACACAGACCACAAATGACCTTCCTCGGAGCGGTCGTCCTAGGGTCACCACACCTCGACAAGATCGGCAGATTTCCCGTCAACACCAGCGACATCCGTTCCTAACTGTAAGTGCAAGTGCTCGACAGACCATAGGAACACATAATCAACACATTAGCCGGGACGCTGTGATCCGACGTCTCCGTTCCAACAACCTCAGATGTCGCCGACCAGCACGTCGTCCTGTTCTCCAACAACGGCATCGACAGGCACGACTTCAGTGGGCACAGGGTCATCACAATGGGCGTCATCGTGAGTGGACCTAGCGTCATGATATGGGCAGGGATTGAACTTATTTCGAGACTTGGACTCATGTGCTTTCTGAATGTTTGTCAAGGTCGGGGACACGGCGTCACTGCTCAGCGGTATATCGACCAAGTGATCAGACCCCACGTTGTTCCATTTTTTGCACAACATCAACAACACATTTTCCAGCAGGACAACGCTCGTCCCCATGTTGCCAGTGCTACCATGGCCTTTCTGCAACAACACAACATCCGTGTTCTACCGTGGCCAGTCCTCAGCCCTGATCTGAACCCCATCGAACACTTGTGGGATGAGGTTCAAAGGCGTCTGCACAATGTGCGCCCAGTCCCTACAACTGCCGATGTGTGCAGGAGGATCCATAGGGCCTTCACAAATCGTCTGATCTACTCAATGTACAGGAGATGTGTGGCAGTGATCAATGCTAATGGTGGTCACATCAGGTATTGACTGACATTTTGGGTATTGACCCGAAACTGTGTAAGCCCTTAACATTTGAAAAAAACAATTATGTCATCTGCCTTTTAATCCATTAATCTGTCTTCAGACAAATTTGTGTCAATCTTGCCCTAATACTATTTCTTGTCTTTATTACCTCAAGATGTTGTTGCACAGTCTTGTTTCCCATCGTGAGGTTAGCAAGGTGGCCAAGATCCACTCCCTTCAGCGTACGGGAGTCCAGAGTCATGTTTCCGTCTGCCGCCGCCCTTGCCACCGCCTGGTACACGAACAGGTACTGATCCTGTTGGTAAGATTCATCAGCGCTAGACTGAATGTGAACTTGTCAAATAAATATGGTGTTTATATCTCATTATAGCTCATCGGAGGATTTCGGGTGCAGGCAGGGGACACTTTTTTGACATTTTTGTTGACGTATGTTCAATACAAAGTAAACACAATTTACAGATAACAACTTGTTTAATACTGTAAAGGCGACGTTCGGTATAGATCCTTATACCGTCAGTCTTGCTTGACAATGGTATAAGGATCTTTACCGAAACGTCGCCTTTATAGTATTAAAGAAGTTGTTATCCATAAATTGTGTCTACTTTGACATCCGTAAACTTCTAAGTAATCAAACAATTCGTATGTTCATTAGTTAAGCCACATGCCTGATCACATCCCATCTTACCTTGTAGGACAAGCTAAAGTTAAACATTTTGGTAAAATTACCTATTTTTGACTCTGCCAATACAAATACAGTTTCATAAATTTCCCATTATCCGCTACATCGGTGTACAATTGAAACAAGATATACACAATCGTCTTCAAGCTCCTCAGCAACACGGCGTCGCATAATGTGTATTGACATTGACTTAAGATGTATGTGATGCTCTCAGCCTGAACATAAATATAACGATTATCTCACGAAACTGTTTCCGTTGGGCGTTAAAGGTAAAATAGAGGTGAAATTTAAATGAATGCGTCACTGATGAGAGCAGCAAATTATGATATGATATTATATTATTCATTCTTGTAAATATTTACAACATTAACAGGTGATACAAAGATCTTTCTGTTCATCCGTTTAACCTATCACACATGTGCATTCAACACCAACTTTTGATTGTATCATGCCTTTCCTCTGACTTCTCAAGTTGGAGACGAAGCTGACAACGTCCACAGCGCATTCTGTTGTTGCCTGCTCCGCGAGACTATCAATAGCGATGTACGTGCCTGTCTGGCCAATGCCGGCGCTGATTGTGGATGACACAGACAGTATAGATACACATGCTACGTGAACACGACATGTCAAAATAGTAATATTCACTGACAATTGACACTTTGCTTACACCAAAATGTATTTTATCAAAACAAATCTCTCAAAATGAAATGTGTTCAGAAATACCCATTGATTGCTTCGAATAAGGACTACCATTCGTCAACACGCACCTGCAGTGAACGGTGATTGGTTGCTTTTGTTTTCCAGCTAGTTCCTTGATCTTCCACCTGAACTCCAAGAATGCATACATATCTGGAACACTACGATCCAGCCAGGTTGTAAAATGGAAATGACGCACGTGCCGCTTCGTTGTCTTCTAAATAACACAATATTGATATACTTTGCGTTAGATGTTCAACAATGTTGTCAGGTGGTATAAAGCTGATGTACCTGATTCGAATTTTAGTACTCTTAGTGAGTGAGTGAGTTGGGTTTAACGCCGCCTTTAACAATAGTCCAGTTATATCACGGCGTGTCAGCTTAATGTGGGAAGAAAGTCCGAAGTGATGCAGGTCTCAGACGTTTACCACTTCAGTGAAACCCAAGAGCACGGGTATGGTGCTGACAAACCTAGAAACATAATCGGGGCGAACCGGGATTCGAACCCACAATCACAGGTTTCTTTCGTGCCTAAGGGACGCAACTCTGCACAGTGTAGTACTCTTAACTTATAAGAGTTCAGGCAATGCAATGCTTCTAAATAAAGGCATGTATACCTTCTTGTGTTGCACAGTCAGCTTTGCGAGTGTGTAGTTTGCAAGACATGTTTCTGTCTCCATGGTTACCGTGATGTCACCGTATGAGTCCTGGTCTTTTTCCGGCCAGTAACGAAGACAATTCATCTGCAATAGAACAGTACCAATGATATGTTTCTACATGTAAAATGCTATAAAAGCCGCAAGGATAATATTTTGCAGATAAGCGCAGGCATCCATGTTTGTAACGTCATGGGTAAATGTTTGTATGACGTCATGGGTAAATGTGCACAGGGAGCGTTATGCATCCAACACAACAGATGTAAAGCCACCCGGTGTTTGTTATTAACTCAGTACCAAGAAGACATGAAACAATGTTAACTTCGTGTTCGTCTACGCAGAGAAAGCATCTCCATTTAAGGGTCACCTGTTTTGTGATCATGAATTACAATCTCAGATTTGCCTTGATAAAGATTCTTGGTTTATCAGCATTATATCCATTCTCCTGGGTTTCGCCAAACTGGTGAACATCTGTATAATGCAGATTCTACCATGACCTTGTAAAAGCCTCGACTTTACACAGACAAATTGAGAGGTTTCAAATCACACTCAAAAATCTGACTGAAACAGCTGATTAGACGCCCGCATCACCATAAAGATAATATTTATTCAAAAAGATTACTTACTCATCTTTGGTAAGCATTTTTTTAAATATTGATATTTTAATTTTTAATGAAACACAATGCAGAATAAGGACAACAATCAACATATGTGTGGCAAAATATTCTGGGCATGACACACCACAGCAATCGACAAGGAGAATGTATTTTCAAACCTTTGCATTTTACGCCCAGTGGAATCTGTTTTGGCGGATAAACGAAAATGGTCACTCTTTTGCGTTGACGTTACATATTTTATGAACTTATCTAATATTACAAACGTATTAGTTTGGCTAACTACTATTACGTCTATTCGTACCTTGCCCCCTTCCTCGAGTCCCGTCACCATGACGATCGTAGTGCATCCTTCCTGCCAGATCATCCTCCAGAAATCCTCAACCACATCAGGCTTGTAGGGCCCTTAAAACACATTGTGTCACGCGTAGCTATTATCTAGTCAGTAACGATCAAATACTGATTCGGCAAATCAGTAAAGAAGTTTGTTTAAAGTTTGTACCAGCGGCAAAGCCTTATATAGAATAAAGGAATGTTGGTATGTATTAGAATACTCTGGTGAAAAGAAAGCAGTTTTAACAATAGGTCATATGTGAAGAATAAGTATAGGTATTCCATAGTTCTTCTATTAAATGTCAAAATTGTAATATGTCATACCTTGTGCAGCGATGTATTTCCTCTCAGTCTTGTAGCCCTTAAACAATGTCAGCAGGAAAGGTGAAAGTGTTTGAATCATAACAATCCCTAACAATCGTTAAGTAACTATACCAGTATTGCAGCAGATAAAATGTTAACATCAAAATGAAGAGTTTCCATATTCTCTTCTTACAACTATTTAATTATGTCATGCCACTAACGCAGATAAATAATCGTCACTCACGTCCATGTAGCTGGCATTGATGTAGTTGCTGGTCTGGCCATCGTTTAACACCACCCGGTTGTAGTCATCTAAGACAAAGAACAACTGTTCATGTCTCAGTTTGTGTTTGTGTTTGTGTATAAGTTTATGTCTAGATTCAAATTAAACTTACATGGGTAGTAGGATTTAAATCTGTTTTTCCCTTTGTTTTGTGGTAGCTGGGAGTCATTGTAACAGTGCATGAAGCCATCTGGCAAATTCTGAAAATAAATGAGACAAGAACCGGAGTCTATCATGTGTGTCGGACTACATCACTGCCATGTGTTTACGAGTCATTACAAAATAAAGAATATTGTGTTCGACAAGAAAGCTGATAATCACATTACAACAACAGAAGCTGTTTGGTCTTGAATACTGACCTTAAATTCCTCCTCTGCTTCTCTAGGATGTTCCTCCAGTTGACGTTCAAAGTCCTCCAGATCTGACACTTGAATCATTCGACCGACGCAAGGGCTATGGCGGGTAGGATAGTTAGCATGTGGATGATCACTCTCTCTCAACAGGCCGTGAATAGGGTCAGTGTAGCCCTCCTCTTCGGAAATAGTCTCATACACAGAAGTTTCTGTAATCGTGCGTCCACCCGATTCGTGATTTACTCCTTCCAAATTCACATTTGTTAGGCCTGAAACTGATCCATGTTCGCCCTCATCTCCAAGCCGCTCATAAACACTCTCTGAAAGAACATATAGTCGTATCTAAATAGATTGCTGAAGGAATATTTCTCACCTGTAGACACAGTGTTTTCCTTCATTTGCAAGACACGGGTGTCCCAGTCGTCTGAGGCGCCGCAATGCGCCGTGCACAGTTGCGTCCCTTAGACACGCCACACGAGGGTTCGAATCCCGGTTCATCCCGATTATGTTTCTAGGTTTCTCAGCATCATACCCGTGCTCGTGGCAAACTTCTAAGACCTGCATCACCACGGGTGTAACTCCCACATCAAGTTGAGACGCCGTGATATCGCTGGAAAAATGCTTAAAGCTGCGTTAACCGCAACTCACTCACTCACCCACTAACATTTCATTAGCAATGAAGTAAAATCACATTGGAATATGTTAACAACATTTACAGAACTAAACGTATTTTCGAAATGTATACCCTCCATTGACTCTTGTTGGAATTCAGGTTGACACAGTTGTGAATAGTGCAAGTCAGCCCCACTTGATGGTCTCACTGCAAATAAACCGAAGTCAATTTCATATTTTATCATATTTTAAAGTATGAAGTACTGTATTCATTGATAACAATGTAAACCATATCAATAACACTTTTGATCCGTTTTACAGTAGTAGTAGCAGTAGTAGTAGTAGTAGCAGCAGCAGCAGCAGTAGTAGTAGTAGTAGTAGATGGAATTGAAAGAAGCAGCAATGGATTCAAACACAAATGACATACATTTTTAACATTTTCTTATAAGAGCCAAGGATTTAAGACATAATCTCAATGTCAGTGTTAATTTTGGTGATGGTTCTTTACTCCTGGATGGTACAGAAATGAGTGTCAGCCAAGCGAAGTGACATATCAAGTGACTCAGTTTTTTCAAGGAGAGGTTATCTAAACGATCACTGCATCGAGTTTATGTGCAGTGTGTTGAGAAAATCAGCAACCTTGTAGAGGCCTTCGCTTGAATGAAGTAGGCTGGCATGGTTTTCTGTATGTTTTCTGTGTGTTGCTTAGTACCAGTCATTTCCCACACGATGCAGTCAATGTGTGATTTTGCATTAAACGTAAATATGAAATGTAGATTATGCAATGAATTTAATGAGACTGTACAACACAGTGTCAGTGGATGCCAAGATGTGGCACAAACACAGTATCTTAAGCGACATGATGAAGTTTCTCGAACGTTTTATTGCCATCTTTTTAATGCCTGTGGTATTGACACAGAGGTCCATCCATGGTACGACCCAGAATATGTAGAGGGTGTTATGGAAAATTCTTTGGAATAGGCCCGTATAGAGCCTCAGACCTATCGAGGCCAACAAACCTGATCTTGTCCGTTTGGATAAATCCAATGAAATAATTTATATCACATACACTTGAGAAACCCTCAGAACGCTCAACACCACACTCAAAGAATATCAGACCTCTATCAACAACAAGACCTGAAATCAGCTATTTCCAAGCACATCCTCAAGCACCAAGGCCATAACATCATGTGGGAAGCCACCAAAGTCCTGTCTACCAACAACTGGCGACAAAGAAAACTACAAGAAGCTATTGACATCAGGAGACACCAGCCAGCCATGAACCGTAATCAGGGAATCTATCTGCCAGGTGCCTGGGACGTATTGCTTTGATCTTTGTCAGTGGTAATTATCTAGCTGGCTTCCATTTGTGTATTGTCATTTCCATTCTGTTACCTATCAGTGTTAATCATCCCAGGCCTCCCGTTGGCCCATTGTCCATTGCCTATTATCAGTCAGTGCTAATTATCAGTCAGTCAAGTGTTGGCGCTCCTTTTCTCCATTGCTTATCACATATAAGTGCGAATTATCTATTGGCTCCCCCTTGTTAAGTTTCCACCTTTGTTATCTGATTGCTTTTGTTGTTCTTACAGGTACAAAGTGATGTTCTATGCATTTATCATTTATTCACCTGATAAGGAGTAAGTATATACTCCAAAACGTTACATCCATAGATTCTCTTCCTTATGTGTATCATTTCTCAACACCTTTCAAAGATTTGATGTGAATGCATAGTTTTGCACAAGCATCCCATTAATGGAATGGATTAAAACATCTAGCAATTTCTTAAATCGTTTCGCAAAAAAACGTAATGCTCATTCATTAAAAAAACAGATGCTCAAACATAGAAAGAAATGTGAAGATGATTTAAATGTTATTCATATGTTTGTTATTGTGATTATTTCATTTTCTACCAGAGACAGCATTTTATAATGTTGTTTCATACTTGTACAAAATAGTCACATGTTCTGATGGTGCTCTTTTGATTGAACCATAAAGCATGTTGAGGCCCATGTCATTCCAACAGATAATGCTGAACTGTTTCAGATGAATTATCGACACATTGGTCACATAGAGGGGATACCTCCTTGTCAATACTCCTGCAGGCATTCAATACACGATGACCAAGACGAGGTATAGTCAACAACTTCATCACGCCTCGTACGACGACAAACTTTACAGATGTGTTTAACTGTTGGGCAAAGTGTGTGTATATGTCGTCCCACAAATCTTGCCACGTTATGGAGACCGACTTTGGAATGGTATAATCGAAATACTTTTTGAAGGACAGAATTCAGAGTATTTACTAAATTTACAGAATTTCATAACGCTTTGACATGTGAACAGGCTGATTCTTTACAAATGCAACGTATCATAGACTAGAGTAGCTTCCCGTTAACAGTAGTGAGCTGGCCTATTGATTGTCGCAAAAGATATTGACTGACTAAGTTATCTTTTAGCTTTATGACATTGTCTTGAAAACATGTATAGACAATTGAATTTTGCCTGTTCAGTAGCAAAACCACTGTCGGATATAAAAACCAAACCATATTACCCGTTGTCACTGTCTGATACTTGATATTACCATAGCAAAACACAAGTATATATCTCATAATTAAACGTATTATCTATCTTAACAGACAGTTGCAAGTGTATATGTACATTGATAGGAAACTCAGCACTGACCTGAACCCGACCTACAGATCACTGTGCCAGGTGCACGTTGACTTACCTTCAGAGTTGTGTACGGTTTGCTGTGCAGACTCCATTGCTGTACGTTTCCTACTTTTTCTGAAATAGATTTATTCTCATTTTTCCGGGACCTACCAAGAAATCACAGGGCAAGAGAGGATGGCCTGTTGTCAGCGTCGCACAATGTGAATATGCACGCCAAGACACGTGAATTACGAATGGAGATTTATTAAATCTGGGTATAGATGTTGATAAATGTTTGATTGAAAATAGAGAGAACTACTTTGGAATTTATTATTTCAAAACAGTCAGACACTACTTAAATATAGGAGAATAAATAAAAGCATCAAAACCATTTCATGGACCGTTCTTCCAGAATTATTATTGAAGTTAATTTATCAGACGGGTCTTTTCACCAATATCTAATACAAGGCAGGTAAAATAGGCAGGAGGTGAACTATAAGCGACACAACACTTGATAGGAGGGATTCGCGAATATTTAGAAAACTGACCTGATTCGGACGATGATGAGAACAATCAGCATGGCTATCAGTACTATGGCAACTAAACCTGCTGCTAGAGGTATCACAGCCACAGAGGTCGAGGCAGCTGGAACACACAATGGAATTATTTACCGTTAGTGATTATCTGATGTTTTGGGCCCATTTAAAAAAAATGAACTTGTTTGTTGTTTTCAAGAAAGCAGGTACATACATCATAAATCTATAGAGAGAGTGTCTAAGTTGAGTACCTACAGACAGACAATGTAGTGACAGTCTCTTCTCGAGTGTCCAACTGCAACAACTAGCGCTGTAGATAGATGCAATGGCCGAGCAGTTGCATCCAAAAGTGGGAGAGATATGACAATCAATATTAAGAGAAAAGGTACAGATAATCGACGTGCAAAGAATATGCGGGACCCCCACCCCCACCACCCCACCCCCTGTATAAAATGGACTTGTCCGACATTGCCGAGGTCGGGTTACGGGTAGGTATTTTTAAAGATTATATATTTTATCGACATCCTTAAAGAGGCTGGATATAATACTGATATCTCATTATATGAAATAAACGTCGTTGTTTATCGAACAATAACACAATTAACAGCACAAGTTCACCTCGAAAAGCTGTTTTCTATCAATTTTCAATTCATTTTAATTCTTTTACAATGGCAGATTGAAACATTTCGGCAAGTGGAATTCGTTGAAGCAGTATCACTCGGGATGTATGTGGTTTTATGCGTCCCTTGACAGGTTTTATACCTCTCGCCTCCGGCTCGTTGAATGCAACCTAGCTTGGGACGTATAACACATCATATACCGCTAGTGAGTGAGTGAGTGAGTATTTATGCCGCTTTTAGCAATATTCCAGCATTATCACGGCGGGGGACACCAGAAATGGGTTCCACACACTGTATCCATGTCGGGAATCGAACCCGGGTCTTCGGCGTGACGAGCGAACGCTTTAACCACTAAGCTACCCGACCGCCCCTATAACGGTAGTGATATTGCTACAACTTCTAACACAGGAGAAACAAATATGCATAATACCATACTATGTCTTTTGTCAAGTAAATTCTGAACGGGTAGGGAAAGAATCAAGTTTTGTTAGCTGTCCCTTCAAATACACCATCACGATTCGATAGCCCCCTCCACAGTTTTGTACTTCAGCCTGATTCTGTCCACGCGAATGATATCTGTAAACGCAATTTCTTCTCTTTAAGATTCGTGTACCGAATATCAATCTTAAGTACTTAAAGTTGCGTCAGATATTTCAAGAGGAAGCACAAATTGTTGCACACCAACTGATTTGAGTTCCTGTCTGTTTTCTACTGCAACGTAAGTGTGTGGTATTCTATTCTGGGCTGAACTGTGTGATTGATGGAATGTATTCCATCGTTTTATCTGAAAAACAATGTTCATACAAAACATACCTTGTGTGCAGTCATCACCCGTCCACCCCACGAGACACCCAGTGTCACATGACCCGTTGTAGCGGTCACATGATGGGTTGGTGCCAGCACACTTCCTCCCGATACATGTTTTCTTACAGTCGACACCATAGTTGCCGCCATCGCATTCTGACATAAAGTTGGTTAACATTCCGTTTTTTGAGTATGTTTACTTTCATTATAAATCAAACATGACAAGTTCTCTAAAAGGAGGGATACTGACATTTGTTTCCAGATCAGCTGAACAGTATAAAACGACATTTTTAACTGACGTGATAAAAAGACATCCATTACATTGAGGTGAAGACGAAAGGCTGATGCTGTTCACCGTGGACACAAGGTACAATGAATGTAGATTAACCTCTGCTGCAGTCTTCTCCCGTCCATCCGGCCTTACATCCGGGTTCACACTTCCCAGTCACGTGATGACATGGCGGAGTTCCCTGACAGTTTCTGTCCTGACATTTGTTCGCACATGCGTCTCCGTAAGTACCTTGGCTACATTCTGTAAATACGTAGTGGACGTTATATGGACAATGAAGCATATTGTGATGCATTTGAGATCAAAAGGTGAGATACGTTAGAAAGATAGTTCGAAAAAAGCATTTGTTTCACAACATTTGGACTTAACTATCAGAATGTTCCAGAATGAGGACTGGAAATGTTCCAGAATGCTGGCTAAAAGAAACCATGAAGTACACTGAATAACATCTTTTCATCATATGAATAACACTGAAGGCAATCATGAAAAGAGAAGTAGCAGGTTACACCTCGGGTGCAGTCACTGCCTCTCCATCCTTGAAGGCATGCAGCGACACACGACCCGCAATGACAATCACATGGTGTGGTGCCAGGTCCACACTTTCGTTCCGCACAGGCTTTGTTACAGTTTATTCCATAGTTCCCTGTGCCACACTCTGTAGTACACATGGAGATCGACACGAAAACCACAAATTGATGTTTGACGAGACATAAAGTGCTGTTTAATGATGTGCTAATAAAGTGTTCAGTTGATGTTGAAAGAAATGTTGTCTCAACATGATCACAGAACTAGCAATGTTTCTGTTCAGTACCTTTTACGAGTTATAACCCCACATACAAATAACTATTTATCAAATAGCCCATTTGTAATTGGGCCACATTCGTCCTAACAGTTAACGATTTTACTTAAGTTTGAAGTGAACGCACATTTAGCCATACCTGTGTGGTCTATTGTGTTAGTCCAGTAATTTCATGTCCACGTCTCCAATATATCAGTGGTTTTGAAGCAAAACAAACGTTCAAAATTGTTTCGCCACAAAGTCAACAGTAATATATCATGACTGTCAACATTGTCATTATACTATCAAAATAATGGTTGTAAAATATCAAAATATAAACTTTTGAACATAATCACCATGTTGTGTATTTGGTATTTTTAGCATAAAATTCCAAAAGACCTCCTCACCTGTATCACACCTATCTCCCCGCCACCCTGGTCTACAGTCTCCAGGACACACCCCACTGACTGGGTCACACTACACCTGACAGTAAGACCTCCTCACCTGTATCACACCTGTCTCCCTGCCACCCCGGTCTACAGTCTCCAGGACACACACCACTGACTGGACAATACTACGCCTGACAGTAAGACCTCCTATCCTGTATCACATCTGTCTCCCTGCCACCCTGGTCTACAGTCTCCAGGACACACACCACTGACTAGGTCACACTACAACTGTGTTTTTTTGTTTTCATGAAGCAGGTACATACATGAAATCTACATAGAGTGTCTAAGTTGAGTACCTACAGACAGACAATGTAGTGACAGTCTCTTCTCGAGTGTCCAACTGCAACACCTAACGCTGTAGATAGATGCAATGGCCGAGCAATCGCATCCAAAAGTGGGAGAGATATGAAAATCAGTATTGAGAGGGTACAGATAATCGACGTGCAAAGAATATGCGGGAAAGACCAAATTTGACCCCCTTGTATAAAATGGACTTGTCCGACATTGCCGAGGGCGGATTATTTCAGGGAGTCATCATTATTTAAATACGGATAGGTATTTTAAAGATTGTACATTTTATCGACATCTTTAAAGAGGCTGGGCATAATACTGATATCTCATAATATGAAATAGACGACTTGCAGTCGTTGTTTATAGAACAATAAAACTGGAGATGCCCTCATGGTTTATTCTCCCTGCAATGTTTTATTGTACGACAAACAACTCCCACTCGTTGTTTATTTCTTAACTTTACCTCCATTTCTGAGTGGGAGAATACATCCCTCACAAACCACTAGGAGCAAAAGGCTGCACGTCCCTTACAAGTCAATGCACGTCATGGGACACAACACAATTAACAGCACAAGTTCACCTCGGAAAGCTGTTTTCTATCAATTTTCAATTCATTTTAATTCTTTTACAATGGCAGATTGAAACATTTCGGCAAGATAAATTCGTTGAAGCAGTATCACCTGGGATGTATGTGGTTTTATGCGTCCCTTGACAGGTTTTATACCACTCGCCTCCGGCTCGTTGAATGCAACCTAGCTTGGGACGCATAACACATCATATACCGCTACAACTTCTAACACAGGAGAAACAAATATGCATAATACCATAATATGTCTTATGTCAAGTAAATTCTGAACGGGTAGGGAAAGAATCAAGTTTTGTTAGCTGTCCCTTCAAATACACCATCACGATTCTATAGCCCCCTCCACAGTTTTGTACTTCCGCCTGATTCTGCCCACGCTAATGATATCTGTAAACGCAATTTCTTCTCTTTAAGATTCGTGTACCGAATATCAATCTTAAGTACTTAAAGTTGCGCCTCTGATATTTCAAGAGGAAGCACAAATTGTTGCACACCAACTGATTTGAGTTCCTGTCTGTTTTCTACTGCAACGTAAGTGTGTGGTATTCTATTCTGGGCTGAACTGAGTGATTGATGGAATGTATTCCATCGTTTCATCTGAAAAACAATGTACATACAAAACATACCTTGTGTGCAGTCATCACCCGTCCAACCCACGAGACACCCAGTGTCACATGACCCGTTGTAGCGGTCACATGATGAGTTGGTGCCAGCACACTTCCTCCCGATACATGTTTTCTTACAGTCGACACCATAGTGGCTGGCGTTGCATTCTGACATAAAGTGGATAAACATTCCGTTTTTGAGTATGTTTACTTTCATTATAAACCAAACATGACAAGTTCTCTAAAAGGAGGGATACTGACATTTGTTTCCAGATCAGCTGAACAGTATAAAACGACATTTTTAACTGACGTGATAAAAGGGCATCCATTACATTGAGGTGAGGACGTAAATATGGACAAAAAAGCATATTGTGATGCATTTTAGATCATAAGGTTAGATACGTTAGAAAGATTGTTCGAAAAAAACATTTGTTTCAAAACATTTGGACTTAGATATCAGAATGTTCCAGAATGAGGACTGGAAATGATCACATGTTCACAGAACTAGCAATGTTTCTGTTCAGTACCTTTTACGAGTTATAACCCCTCATACACACAACTACTTATCAAATATTCCATTTGTAATCGGGCCACATTCGTCCTAACAGGTAACGTTCTTACTTAAGTCTGCCGCGAACGCACTTTTAGCCATACCTGTGTGGTCTATTCTGTTAGTCCAACGATTTCATGTCCACGTCTCCAATATATCAGTGGTTTTGAAACAAAACAAACGTTCAAAATTGTTTCGCCACAACGTCTACAGTAATAAATCATGACTGTCAATATTGTCATTGTACTATCAAAATATTGTTGTAAAATGTCAAAATATATATATAATCTTTTGAACATAATCACCATGGTGTGTATTTGGTATTTTTTGCAAAAAATTTCCAAAAGACCTCCTCACCTGTATCACACCTGTCTCCCTGCCACCCTGGTCTCCAGTCTCCAGTACACACACCACTGACTGGGTCACACTACAACTGATAGTAAGACCTCCTCACCTGTATCACACCTGTCTCCCTGCCACCCTGGTCTACAGTCTCCAGGACACACACCACTAACTGGGTCACACTACACCTGACAGTAAGACCTCACCTGTATCACACCTGTCTCCCTGCCACCCTGGTCTACAGTCTCCAGGACACACACCACTGACTGGGTCACACTACACCTGACAGTAAGACCTCCTCACCTGTATCACACCTGTCTCCCTGCCAACCTGGTCTCCAGTCTCCAGGACACACACCACTGACTAGATCACACTACACCTGACAGTAAGACCTCACCTGTATCACACCTGTCTCCCTGCCACCCTGGTCTACAGTCTCCAGGACACACACCACTGACTGGGTCACACTACACCTGACAGTAAGACCTCCTCACCTGTATCACACCTGTCTCCCTGCCAACCTGGTCTCCAGTCTCCAGGACACACACCACTGACTAGATCACACTACACCTGACAGTAAGACCTCACCTGTATCACACCTGTCTCCCTGCCACCCTGGTCTACAGTCTCCAGGACACGCACCACTGACTGGGTCACACTACACCTGAAAGTAAGACCTCCTCGCCCGTTTCACACCCTGCCAACCTGGTCTACACTCTCCAGTACACACACCACTGTCTGGACAACACTACACCTGACAGTAAGACCTCCTCACCTGTATCACACCTGTCTCCCTGCCACCCTGGTCTACAGTCTCCAGGACACACACCACTGACTGGGTCACACTACACCTGACAGTAAGACCTCACCTGTATCACAACTGTCTCCCTGCCACCCTGGTCTACAGTCTCCAGGACACACACCACTGACTGGGTCACACTACACCTGACAGTAAGACCTCCTCACCTGTACCACACCTGTGTTCCTGCCACCCTCGTCTACAGTCTCCAGGACACACACCACTGACTGGGTCACACTACACCTGACAGTAAGACCTCATCTGTTTCACACCTGTATCCCTGCCACCCTGGTCTACAGTCACCAGGACACACACCACTGACTGGGTCACACTACACCCGACAGTAAGACCTCCTCACCTGTATCACACCTCTGTCCATGCCACCTTGGTCTACAATCTCCAGGACGAACACCACTGTCTGGACAACACTACACCTGACAGTAAGACCTCCTCACCTTTATCACACCTGTCTCCCTGCCACCCTGGTCTACAGTCTCCAGGACACGCACCACTGACTGGGTCACACTACACCTGAAGGTAAGACCTCCTCGCCCGTTTCACACCCTGCCAACCTGGTCTACAGTCTCTAGTACACACACCACTCACTGGACCACACTACACCTGACAGTATGACTTCCTCACCTGTATCACACCTGTCTCCCTGCCACCCTCGTCTACTTTCTCCAGGACACACACCACTGACTGGGTCACACTACACCTGACAGTAAGACCTCACCTGTATCACACCTGTCTCCCTGCCACCCTGGTCTACAGTCTCTGGGACACACACCACTGACTAGATCACACTACACCTGACAGTAAGACCTCACCTGTATCACAACTGTCTCACTGCCACCCTGGTCTACAGTCTCCAGGACACACACCACTGACTGGGTCACACTACAACTGATAGTAAGACCTCCTCACCTGTATCACACCTGTCTCCCTGCCACCCTGGTCTACAGTCTCCAGGACACACACCACTAACTGGGTCACACTACACCTGACAGTAAGACCTCACCTGTATCACACCTGTCTCCCTGCCACCCTGGTCTACAGTCTCCAGGACACACACCACTGACTGGGTCACACTACACCTGACAGTAAGACCTCCTCACCTGTATCACACCTGTCTCCCTGCCAACCTGGTCTCCAGTCTCCAGGACACACACCACTGACTAGATCACACTACACCTGACAGTAAGACCTCACCTGTATCACACCTGTCTCCCTGCCACCCTGGTCTACAGTCTCCAGGACACACACCACTGACTGGGTCACACTACACCTGACAGTAAGACCTCCTCACCTGTATCACACCTGTCTCCCTGCCAACCTGGTCTCCAGTCTCCAGGACACACACCACTGACTAGATCACACTACACCTGACAGTAAGACCTCACCTGTATCACACCTGTCTCCCTGCCACCCTGGTCTACAGTCTCCAGGACACGCACCACTGACTGGGTCACACTACACCTGAAGGTAAGACCTCCTCGCCCGTTTCACACCCTGCCAACCTGGTCTACAGTCTCTAGTACACACACCACTCACTGGACCACACTACACCTGACAGTATGACTTCCTCACCTGTATCACACCTGTCTCCCTGCCACCCTCGTCTACTTTCTCCAGGACACACACCACTGACTGGGTCACACTACACCTGACAGTAAGACCTCACCTGTATCACACCTGTCTCCCTGCCACCCTGGTCTACAGTCTCTGGGACACACACCACTGACTAGATCACACTACACCTGACAGTAAGACCTCACCTGTATCACAACTGTCTCCCTGCCACCCTGGTCTACAGTCTCCAGGACACACACCACTGACTGGAGAACACTACACCTGACAGTAAGACCTCCTAACCGGTATCACACCTGTTTCCATCCCACCCTGGTCTATAGTCTCCAGGACACACAAGACTGACTGGGTCACACTACACCTCACAGTAAGACCTCCTTACCTCTATCACACCTGTCTCCCTGCCACCCTGGTCTACAGTCTCCAGGACACACACCTCTGTCTGGACGACACTACACCTGACAGTAAGACCTCACCTGTATCACAACTGTCTCCCTGCCACCCTGGTCTACAGTCTCCAGGACACACACCACTGACTGGACAACACTACACCTGACAGTAAGACCTCCTCACCTGTTTCACACCATGCCAACCTGGTCTACAGTCTTCAGTACACACACCACTGACTGCGTCACACTACACCTGACAGTGAGACCTCCTTACCTGTATCACACCTCTGTCCATGCCACCCTGGTCTACAGTCTCCAGGACACACACCTCTGTCTGGACAACACTACACCTGACAGTAAGACCTCCTCACCTGTATCACACCTGTCTCCCTGCCACCCTGGTCTACAGTCTCCAGGACACACACCACTGACTGGGTCACACTACACCTGACAGTAAGACCTCACCTGTATCACAACTGTTTCCCTGCCACCCTGGTCTACAGTCTCCAGGACACACACCACTGACTGGGTCACACTACACCTGACAGTAAGACCTCACCTGTATCACACCTGTCTCCCTGCCACCCTGGTCTACAGTCTCCAGGACACACACCACTGACTGGGTCACACTACACCTGACAGTAAGACCTCACCTGTATCACAACTGTTTCCCTGCCACCCTGGTCTACAGTCTCCAGGACACACACCACTGACTGGGTCACACTACACCTGACAGTAAGACCTCACCTGTTTCACACCTGTCTCCCTGCCACCCTGGTCTACAGTCTCCAGGACACACACCACTGACTGGGTTACACTACACCTGACAGTAAGACTTCCTCACCTGTATCACACCTGTCTCCCTGCCACCCTGGTCTACAGTCTCCAGGACACACACCACTGACTGGGTCACACTACACCTGACAGTAAGACCTCCTCACCTATGTCACACCTGTCTCCCTTCCACCCTGGTGTACAGTCTCCAGAACACATACCGCTGTCTGGGTCACAGGAGCTGTTCAGACAGTGGCAGAATTTGTCGCAGAAATTGCCATATGTCCCATGACTGCACACTGCACATGCAAGGAGGGAGAATCACATATGTCACATTAAAGCCAAACCTCGTTAATTCAAATACGGATCATTGAGACAGTATGAGTAACAATATTACAAGACGTATCGTGTTTGAGTTAACCTATTCTAATTGTATGAGCGTTTCAGTAATAAGGTAAAATCCATCATCAACTGCCTTAATCACACCAAGACCTCTCCAGTCACTTTACTGCTTTGAACATTAATAATATTAAACATGAACGCCAAACAATAACCAATAATAATAATTTCCAATCTTGATTATCGCAGAAACAAATTGTAGTGGGCAGAAGAGACAAAAATATCAGTGAAAATGATATGAACGGATCAAGAATTTGTGTTTTGCATAGGACGGCGGCACGTTGTTTGTTTGTTTGTTTGTTGTTTAACGCCGCATTTAGCAATATTCCTGCTATATGACGGCGGTCTGTAAATAATCGAGTCTGGACCAGATAATCCAGTGATTGATATCACGAGGATCAATCCACGCATTTGGAATCGATGACATGCATCAACCAAGTCAGGGAGCCTGACCACCCGATCCCGTTAGACGCCTTTTACGACAAACATAGTCGCTTTTTACGGCAAGCATGGGCTACTGAAGGCCTATTCTACCCCGGATCTTCACGGGTCCGGCGGCATGTAAACAAATAAGACAATAAAGTGATTGCTCAGAAAATCCAGCAGCATGAAAGCGCATTTGCTGAACTCAAAGTAATAAGACTAAATTTTAGTGGCATTTCATTCATATGTTTACAGTGGCCATTTAACACACCGGTCCTCTTTGATGATTTGCAAAACCGAATTAATATTAATTTCATTTAATACTTTATCTTAAGCTTCGTTTGAGCTAGACAACTTCCAAATAATATCCAGCCTTTTTCCACAGTAAATGTCACATATAGTGCATATACAATGTTTAACTTTTGCACAAATTGAATGAAACACCATACATGTTATGAGCGCATCACGGGCATTTAACATACGGGTGATGAGTGGGTAGGGTGTAAGCCAAGTTTTAGCAAATATTCAAATAAGTCCTATTTCGTCACGATAAGCAAATATAGTAGATATATTTTGTCAAATAAGATGGCACGTTATCAATTGGTAGATTATGTAAAATATGATAGTACCAACACATCGCTTTGGCCGTCCAAATTCAGTTGGTCAGAAAGGCTTAACATCAGATAATATGTGATGTTATATTAAAACGAATGTTTATTTGTCCAGACTGGATATTCCCTTTATTCAACATACCGTATATTTCCACTTCACAGATGTTGAGCGTGTCATCCCCTTTATCCGCTGTACCCGGGTTCCTGATGATGAGGTATCTGCCCCTGCCGTCACACACCAGGTCGATCACTGAGTTGGTGACAGTGGCAGGGAATGTGTAGCACAGTGTCCCGTCAGAGGTGTTGTCATTACTCAGGTGCATGGTGCAGTTAGCTATCCTGTATAAATCTGAAAGTTAAATCTTCACGATACACTCATACTTTATATACAGGAGAGGTGGTAATGATGCACATAACAAATGTAGAGAATATACCTTAATCTGTTCCGCAGTTTGTGAGGCACGGATTTTCAATTACTACTTAAAATTACTTGAAACGTTAATAATTGGCTTCTTCGAGATAACACAAAGATAGCATATAAATCATGTACAACAAAAATAGGTATCAAGTTATAACAAATACCTTACATAAGGTTATCAAAATAGAGTCTTAACATTTACCCAAATGAATATATAGAGGACCAAAATGATAAATTCGGTCTTTTTTGACAAAGTTCAAGTAACGAGGAACAATGCCGAGACGAACCGTAGATTTGACGACACTCGCAGCACGTGCAAGTTGTAAGCACAATAACAAAATTCTCTCCAGACTTCCTGTGACACATTATGAAACATTTTCTGAATCAGAGTGTGCACTGTCTGAAAGATTTACAATTACTGGATCGTTGTTGCTGTAGTTTAAACTCTCTGATTGGCGGTACTGTTCATCAGTTTCAATTACGCGTCTTTTACCATTTTGCCATACATTATGGTCTATTCGACCAAATGAAGCTTGTACAAACAATTTAACTTCGGACATTTAAGTGAAGTGTTGTTTCTGCCATAAGTTTTTTAACAATTTGTCTGGATCAGTTCTTTTGAATTGAGTTCGCAATGTTGCACTGTATTTCATTAATCAGCCGCCATCTTGTCTGTCTGATAAACAGCCTGCGTGTTGTAAAATGTGATCTTCTCATACAAAACTGGTTTGGAACCTTGGTTGGATACACGATACCTTGCTTATACATACAGTTTTGCATTACAGCTTTCTTGATGTCATATTAGGAGCCACACTTTCAGTAATATTAGTAATGCTACTATCGTGTCATTGGATTGTCTGGTTTGTTTACAGGCGGACGTCACATGAACAGGAGTACTGCTATGCGGCGTCAGGCAATACATTTTTCCTTCTTTTATGCAAATTGTATGAATGGTGGGTGCTACCGGTAGGGCAGGGCATGACATCTCTGCCGTGAGCAAAGTCGATTGTTTGAATCGACTATATCATGAGCCTCTGTTTTTAAATCACTATTAAATAGTGATGATACCAAATGTTCGCGAAAAAGTGATCGTAACCTGCCAAACCGGTGGCAACCGTCACACACACATACGAAGGCATGTCAATTGTTCACCTGAAGAAAACACAGGAACATATGGCACCAGTCAAAATAGGGAATTGCATCGGGCATCTTGTTGTCACTGATTCGTCAAAGTTGGAAATGGCCTCTACCTTTGGAAGGCTTCACTGAGGCCATGAATGTTGTAACCTTGATCAAACAACTTCTGAGCAAGAGTCGTGTGACGCTCTTTGAAATCTTGGTAAGTAGATTATGTTTGATTGTACATCAAAACTTGTGAACTGTAGACACCAAGGACTGGAGCTCCAGGACTTTTGTTCGCCATAAGGGAAAGTTGACTATTTGAAAGTTGAAGTCATCCCTCTTCCCATACAGTCTTGGAGAGAGTGTCTTTACTCTGAATCTTTATGCAAAGATCTAAATATGAAAATGTTGAGGCTTTGATACCCGGTCTCCTTCATTCCTAGTTCATATGGGCAAGTCAGTGGAAGGGAATTGGCTGTTTGATCGCTATTGAACGATATAAAATCATCAATATACCTGAAGCTAAAGTTTAAAGAGTTAATGGAATCCTTAGAATCTTAAGACCCATTTTGATGAAAAGAATCTTTTCCTTCTTAATGTTGCTTCTATGAAATGATATGACTTGTTTCATTTCGGCCCTGGATTTATCTTGTGTTTACCAACCTTGAACTTTTTGCAATAGCTGAACTAAAGGAAGCAGCTAAGAAGTGGCATTTCTCTGAAGCTGACTGGTCTGCATTAACCGATCACGCCTTTTATAATAATCGTTTGATTTATTTCATGTGAAAGAACAATCTCTTTCCAAACGTTCAATTAGGCTTCCGTAAAGGTCGACCTTGTGCTGATCGTTTATTTGGACTTGAAACTGAAATTAAAAAGGCTTAAGGTAGCAGTGAATATAAAATGGTTGTTTCCATGGACTTGTTGTGGAGGGAAGGTCTGGTTATAAAACTGTATAAGTTAGGAGGGATAGAAATATTCATGTTCGCAATGGAACTACTCTGTCTGATATGTACATATTCAAGGAAGTGTGATCTCAGCCCTTGTCTTCTGTTGGTCTGATTTGAAGTTATATATAGATATTATATAGAGCTTCCCTCCTCCAATCCGCAGGATTTAATCAACACTATACTTGTCCTTTTTCATGAATTAAGTAATGGTATTTGGATGTTGACTTTTCATTAATACTTGCTAATGTTGGACTGCATGGACATGAGAAAGCTAATAAATTGGCATGAGTTGCACTAGACTTTGATGAGTCAGAAAAGGATGACTTAATATCGCCTTCTCCTGCAGAATTAGACACCGTTAGTAATATCCATGCTAAACAAAGTGGTAACGGAGGTGGCCATCATCCTTAAAAGCACGCCATCTTTATGGCACCGAGTATTTTAATAATAAATAACATATATCTCTAAATAATCGGGGAGAAAAGGTTCTCTTAAGTGGACTTCGTCTCGGGCATTGTGGTCTTGGTGCATATCACAGTTTCTTAATAAAGACGTTTCTGCTATTTGTACAGTTTCTAATAAGGTTGACAATGGTTCATTATGTGCTGCATTGTCAAAATATGTAGATCAACGTAAGGTATTGATGGAGGCTCTTAAAGTTATCAATATTGACCTCTCGTTGACTGTATTGCTATGTTCTAAGAATATGGTTTCGTCATGAAGTTCAGAATGTATAATTAATGCTTATATTATAGTTGTGGCAGTTTCTCTACTTCATAAATATTTCTAGGAATTTAGCAAACCTTAATTATGAGCAAGGTGTAAATGGCCTTCGTTATCAGAACACCTATAAACCTTTCAAAGATCAATCAATCTCATAGCTTAACATAGATTTACGGCAGTGTTCTGTATGTTGACAATTTATACACAGAAGCAAAATCCATTCCTAAAGCCTTTGCTGTTCTCTCATATACTCGATCAAAAGCATTTAGCGGTTTTCCGCGCCTCTTCTCCAAATCCAAGTTCTTGAAGAGTTTGACAAGTGTTTCAGTTTTGAGTGGAACACGTCTGCCCTTACCCTTGTTATCTATTTCACAACGGTGTATACGTCATCAAGTTTGATGATTAAGACTGTATGTAATGTTGATAACTAATTACCAAAGAGATGTAAGTATAATGATATTTGCCGGTATTGCTATGTTTACACACTAAACCTAGAGTTCAATTATCGATGTGAAGGTCACTGACTTACACAAATTATCACCAAAACAGGTATTATTCCCATTTGTACCACAAGGCACACCTCATTATACTACTTATGGTTCTTTTCAGAGATTGGTAGTGAAAGAGCCATTCGAAATTGACAGTTTAATTTCTAAACGGGGAAATATCGCAATTTGTATGTGGAGTAACGATCAGTTGACTGTTCATCAAGTTAATACCATAAAAAACCAGAAGTGTAGCCTATCCTCATAATGTATTCAGTCTTAGTATAACATAAAAACATGAATAATCAAAATAAGCCATAACCACAACTGACAGTGGCCAGGTAAGTGTAAAACGTCCATGCCAGGGAAGACCCAGTCTCCATTATCCGCCGAAACAGATTCCACTGAGCGTAAAAGTTGCGGTGCAAGTTATATGAAAATCAGTGATGACACCAGGTGTCCGCGATAAGGGGAACTCGGGATTACGCATCAGCAAGGCAATAAACTGTCAGGCGGAGACGCCTCTTTCAAATTTGATAAACAACATGAGAGTAATGAAATGCGTGACGTCACTTTTTACATGGATTTTAACGCGGACGCGGAGTTCGGCGGATTTCCTTGACTAAGTACTGTGTGTATGGGATGTTGTTCCCTGTACACACGTACTACATCTGGCATAACCGCTGTACTTATTGCACATGTGGTATATTTATTTACAGCTGTAATCGTATCGCGTCAGTTCTCTGTATAATAGCGTTTCAAGTAGCTGCTCAGGAACAGCACAGATAGTATTACCAACACACCATTAGATAACAACTATTTGTTATTCATCAGTTTACAATAAATAACATGGTCTTTCTCTAGTATCTATGCAATATTATATTCGTGATATATTTTCTCCTGGCATCGTCGACCTATCATTATCTCCCGAATATATAGATATGACTATGAATATGACTACAAGTGTAAAGCAATGTTACACATGTTTCAAAATAAAAGTAACGATTTGTTAACTGACTGTATGAATGAACATCGATGCCAATATAACATTTACCTCAGATCTCATTGAGAAGTGTACAAACTAGCTGAGTATAAATGAATAAACAACGATATTTTGTTGTCTTAAATTCTCTCAAAATAACTTCAAAGTATACAGTTTTATAGTTAATACACTGTAAGGTAAAGTGTCAGCCAAAACTATTAATAATTACCAGAGCTGGTGAACTAGTTAATATACTACATTGTTTGAGTAGTTCATTGCAAGTGTATTTGGTCTGTTGAGGCCGTGTGAAAACTCACAGCCAGCTGAAGGTGAGAGTGGTCCAACTGGACACAGACATTGAAAAGAACGAGTACCGAGCAGTCATCAAGGTTTTTGCTTTAGAGAAAATACTCCCTAAATAACTCATGACCGCATGTCACAAGTGTGGGCAGCTTTGTTTAAGGGTGGGAGAACAAGTCTTGATGACGACCTGAGGTCTGGACGTCCCTCAACTTCCATCAATGAAGATTTAATCAAAGAGAAAAAAGATATACTGTCAGATAGACGTATTACCAGTGTTGCCATGGATCCATTGAAACTATTATTCATGAACATTGACAGATGAATATCTGATCGTTGGGTGCCAAAGTTTCTAAATTTCGATCTTAA